TGATGGAATTTGAATGTAGTAATCAAGCTAACAAAAAATATTATTAAATAATACCTATAGAGTACTTTATTTTCGTATGGACTATTAATATCCAGAAAAGTTCGTTGATTGTGAGAAAGGCAAGCTTCTTCGTAATGATCAATTTAAGCTTTACAGTCATGTCGGCCTAGATCAAAGTTTTCTAATCACTAAACAACTTTCAAGTAGGAAAGTTTTTGTTTCGAACTTTAAGTACCTAATTTTGCAATTTTTCCTTTATACGTTTACTATTAGTAAGTATTCGCTTAGTATTAGTAACATATTGTAAAAATTTCTTTTCTATGGTTTTTAAACGTAAATGCTAATCTATACATATAATAAAATCGTAACTAAGTCGAATCTGTACATTGAATATTTTTTGGAAAATCTTATTGAAATAAATATTATTATCGATACAGAGGCCGAATCTATAGTTTTCAACCGACTTCAAAAAGGAGGAGGTTCTCAATTCGACTGTTTTTTTTTCATGTTTGTTACCTCCGAACTCCGTCATTTATTAACCGATTTGGACAATTTTTGTGTTGTTTGAAAGTGTATACTTCCAGATTGGTTCCATTTAAATTTCAAAAAAAAATACCACCCCTAAGGGTGGAAAAATAGCTAATGATGAATTTTGCCTACTTCTAATTGTCATATTGACCTGAAACTTTGCAAGTGTTTCTATTTCCGTTGATAGTACAGTGGTTCTTCAGTTGGTGGTTGGTAAGGCCAGAAGGTAAGGAAGGAAGGATAAGTGGAACTCTTCAACGGCTAATAGTAGATACTTTGAGTTTGGGCTTATTTTGTTTGATTTGACAAGCCTAACACGTTAGAATTCTTACTTTGATAGTACTCTCCACACTAAAAAGGGAAAAATAAAAACTTTTTAACAAAAAAATAAAAACCGACTTCAAACAAAAGCACTAAAAAGTAAAAAATAACTGATTGGTAGTTTCATTTACTATACATACCTAATCAAATATTTTCGAAGTCGGTGTGCTTTGCTTTATATGGCCTGGCACTGATTTCGAAAATATTTGATTAGGTATGTATTTAATAGGTAGGCTTTAATTACTTAGCCAAAGCACACCGACTTCGAAAATATTTGATTAGGTATGTATAGTAAATGAAAACTACTAATCAGGTTTTTTTACTTTTTAGTGCTTTTGTTTGAAGTCGGTTTTTAGAATTTTTGTCTACTTAGACTACTTACTACTTAGATAGTATCCGAGCGTAGGACTGAGAAATCCTACCGTTTTATTTATGTATAGGACGATTTGATCATTCAATTAAGCATATTTTTAATAGTAAATACTATGAAAATCAGTTGGTTGTTAATAAATTTTATGACGTTATTTTAACAAGTTGAGAGAGGGGGACGATTTGATTCAAGCCATCTGTTTTGTAGGATAATTTTTTTCTTGTTTTATGTTAGACTATCTCAAGATTAAAATGTAAATCAACCTGTTAGTAATAAATTTTAGACAATCGACATGTTCCGTATATATCAATCCACAATTCTATTTACCAGTATCAAATTTTCGTAGAAGGATAAGTTGGGATTTTCGTCAAAATGAAGCTACTCGTCAAGTTTTAGCTTATTATTAATCATTAAAATACCTCGTGATGACAATATCAGAATTCAGAACTGTAACATATTTTTTTTATAATAGAAGCTTAAATAATTATTATATAAAAGCTGGAAGCTTAAATAATTGTTAAAATATTTTTGTGTTTTCTATAGTAATTTACAGTATTTTTATGTTTTTCTTTGCTTACACTATTTATAACATACTATACAGAATATTCTTATAGTTACACTGTACAACACATGGGTATTGAGTAGGTAGTACTTTATCCCCCCCAACGTGCGTTCACCTTGTCGTGGTGGGGGGGCTCAGTAGTGCCCGGCAACCCAACCGGGCGCGAAGCCAAGAAACGCACAGGGAGGTGGCCCACTTCGGTGGGCGGTGGGAGGTGGCCCTCTTCGGAGGGCAGTGTACCATGCGGGTTGCTCCTGGTACTTCTCTGATAGCAGAGTGGACTGTGGAGCAACCCCGTGGTTGTTGTGGTCTGCTTCGGCAGACCTGCCGTCGGGGCGTCGTAGTTGAATGCGTAAGCGATCCTGCGACGCCCCATTAAGACGGGGGAAGGTTTTATTGGGTTTTAGTGGGTAGTACTGGCTTTGCCGGTGAGTCCCACACCTCGTGCGTAAATGCATTTCCCAACGATAAAAAAAAAAAAAAAGGTAGTACTTTATACTTCAAGCATTTAGAGACGCCTAACTCACACAATGTTTACGACTTAGAGACTAAATAAAAAAGTCGTTTAGAAACATCTATCTCATTTTTAAAGAGCTATCTAAAGCTTATATGAGCACAATTTTTTTTGTTTATCCCCCAGTTACAAGTATTGAGTGCCACCTATAGGTATTATTCTTTTATTTTTCGTTATATATCTAACATATTTTAACATAACTTTTGCCCGCGACTTCACTCGCTTGCGATGATTATAAAATATACCCTCTCTACTTTTAAGCTCTTACCTGAATTCTCTACCCGCTAGTCAAAGTACCATTAAAATCGGTTCAGTTGTTTTGGAGATTAGACATGAGAATTATAAATAAAGGATCTTTAATAGTTGTTTGAGCTTTGATATCTTTTAAACTATAAGATTATATGTACATACTTACGAAAAATAATCACAACTAACTATCCAATACAAAACTCATCTATTTTCCAGGTCCTGATTACAAGACATTCTTGGAATTATCTAAACCCTTTAAATACAACATAATAATAGCGTATAATTCAAGAGGTCGTTGCAATAGGTGATAGATAAGAATCACATCAAGCCGAGCCACGAGGTGGTCAAGGCTGGTCGGCCCGCACTGGCAGCAGCGATGCCGTCTTATCCACACTCGCTATTCTTAAGCTTTATGCGATTTAACGTTTCAAACGTTATCAGATGGCCTATAGCGCTAGCCACAAAAAGCTTTAAATAAAGCACAAGCTAATCAATAAGCTAACTGGTCAGCTTATATTTCACTACTAAAACTATTTTCTCAAGTTAGAAAACATGTGTCTTACAACAATTAATTATAAATTCTATATCTTTTTCGCCGTAAATTTAAAGTTTATTTTTAGAAATACATAGATATTATCACGGAAACTTACTTCGTTGCAGTTTAGTGTACCTACTTAGTACTTACATATTATAATACCTACTACTAGTAGCAGGCGTATAAGCAATTTTTATCTTCAAACTGTTTTAAAATTTAATAAAATGTTTACTTTTTTGTAACCCCCGACGCAAACGAAAAGAAGTAAACGAAAATAAGTTTGACGTCGATATCTGTCTGTGTGTGTCTGTCTGTGGCAAAGCTCTCAAACGGATGGACCGATTTCGATGCGGTTTTTTCATTTGAAAGCCAGTTTCTTTGCGGTGGTTTTTAGCTATGTTTGGTTAGTATCGGTCCAGCAGTGAAGAGTATCAGCTCTTTTTCAAAATGATGTAAGGCATTTTGGTGTATGATTACTCGATTAAGTGCTTCACGCGTGCCAGTGTAATCGTTAAATGACAATTAATTTGCGTAGAGGGTTTTTTAAATTTTAAATTCATAATTTATTATTATTAAACAAAATCTAGGAAAACCAAAATCATATTAACCTATGGGAACTGTACATTTTTCACAAAAAGTAACCTGTGTTATTCTGATGTATGAATTATATTGTAAAGTTTCAATAAACTTCATGTAGTAGTTTTTGCGTGAAAGAGTATCAAACATCCATACATCTAGACATCCATACATCCTCACAAATTTTTGCATTTAAGTATAATATTAGTAGGATGATACATGTATGTAAAAAACTACTAATATCAATAGCTAATTAATTCACTTAAAACATAAATTTTTATAATGATAAATACCACCTACTTTGTTATCTATAGCACCATTCAACGCCAGTAAAATTTTAATTCATTTACCAATTTTTCTTTGCCAATTACTGAACAGGAAGATATATTTATCTGCGACACGCTTCTTATGAGATTTTAATTGCTTAGTATCTGCTACTTAGTCCGGAGACGGAAAGGCTGAGTCAGTGCACGGTCCCGTCCAAAGCTGGACCGCTGCCAGGAACTAATCGTCACGCAGTTATACATTCAATCGCAGAGCCCGGTATTACAAGCCCTCATAAATAAAACATGCTATTCCCCCAAAATTAAATAATAAATGGCATTTAGAGTACATACGAATATTTTACTTAAGTCGATATTGTAATAAAAATAATAAAACTTTGGCACGCATAAATTTATATATTTATTTTACTTAGTCTTTGTGTTTAATATAAAAGTTAAAAAACAGCAGAATCAAAACAATTCGGGTGTTTTTGACACAAATAAATCATTCAATTTTCTGCAATAAACGTATAATTACTTACAAAATATGAGCACATAATACACATTAATTTCAAAAAGAATCTTCGTTTTGTCACCACTGAACCGTGTGATTTGTGTATTTATCTTGATACCCAAAAATTTCTGGATCCGTGCCGGACTCGATAATTGTGTCAATACTACCAGTCAACTGACACTGATTCATTTACAGAAGTCAAATATACTTTTTTACATTGTAACATCACTTCTGCTTAAAAAGTTATTTATATATATTACAATACTTTTATCCCTTATGTAATATTTTTAGCGAGTTAAGAAGTTATGGCGACAATTCGGTTGTAGAATTTGGTATGTTACGGTTAGACTGTTAAAGGACGAGTTTATGTACAATAATTTTATTGATAATATCTAAGTAGGTAGTAGCGAGATGTGAGTAAGGGCGCGGAGAGAGGGTGTCGGGGCGGGAGGACGCGCGTGCGTGGTCGGGCCGCGCCCGTGTCGCGGCCGGACGGCGTGTCGGAGCGGAGGCAGTCAGTGGTGCGCCTCGCCCGCCAAGCGCCTTGCCCGCTGCGTGTCCGTTATCACTCGAGTTCTACTATGCGACTCGCGAGTTTCGCTTGCTCTTGTTGTGGTGCTTTATGATGGTACGGCATGAAAGTGCAAGATATGCGGACGTTCCGTGACCGACGCCCTGCTAGATTCACCGCCACAAGTGGGCGGGACGAGACGCTCTGTCGGCTGCTCAGGTGAGCGGCCTCGCATCTCACGCTGGTTAAAGACGCTGCCATCTCGGGGTCGATAAAAAAAATCCTTAGATGGACATAACCTTTTACCGCCGATTGGGTATGGCCTATGTTAGCTTCGTAGAGTTCGTAGACTGCGCTACGGTCCGTGTACTCGTAGACGTCGATCCTGATTTTGTTGTTACATGATGTAATACCATCAGTCTACGTCTATGATAGAGATGATATTACCTATAACATTATACTAAAATAATATTTATATTTTATATAGTGGTTCCACTGAAAAATTTTCAGTGCTATCAATATTTTTCTACTATAATTCTCAATTAAGTTAGAACTCTTAAAGTGAATGGATATGCATATAATATTATTTTTTTGCATATTTACAGAAAATATAACAAGTGTTGCCATGTGACGCTCATATTTCTTGCATCCTAAAATGAAATCTGGGTTTATAGGTTAACTCTGATGATATAATTTTTATCTATCGTCTAACATTTACGTACATAAACGTGTAACTTAAATGCTAACTCATTTAAATCTTATTTCTCTTTACGTACATAAATCTTAATCCAATTTAACCACCAATAGATTAATTACTTCTAGAAATTATATGACAAATTGAACTGGTTAAATATAAACAACATGCGCCGTATAGACAGACGGTTCAAAATAACTGTAAATAGAAACATAATCGCCAATAGAGTCCCAGCCACGAGACACGCTACAACGTGATATTGGTTTAGATATACATACTTAACCAAAGTCGACCGAACAAGGTTTATTCGTTGTAAGGAAATATGTCAAGACTTCGTGCGTTTTTTACTTCTTGATTCGTCACGCAATATTGGGTATATAACATTATCTCCCAGTCGATAAGCTCCGGCTGTCGTCATCAATCTCATGCCTTTCTCAACGAGTACATATACATATAAGTACATTCTAACATTTTCTATTAATTTAGGCATGGTTTAAAGATAAACTTGATAAAAATCAAATTTATTTATATACAAAAGTTTTTGAAGACATTCAATTTTGTGTAAAGTAGTTCATTTCTTGAATAGAATTAGCGTACCGATGCAAGTTAGCTTTCTCATGGTTTAGCTTACCAATAAAATTATATAATATATATATATATATATAATATATATATATATATATATTATACTACTTACTAATTACTATAATATGTATAAATGCGAAAGTTTGGATGGATGTTTGTCAAAGCGGCTAAATGGATCTGGATGAAATTTGGCACAGAGATAGATTATAATCTTTTAATATCACATAGGATTTTTATCCCGGAAAAACGTTCGGTTCCCGTGGGATAGTTTTGTTATTGTTTTTTACTAAGGACGAACCCGAGCGAAGCAAGGGTGAGCCGCTACTAATGCCATAAATTTTGAACAGTAACTTTGGGAATGAAATAATATATATTCATATTCGATTATTCTTTATTATCGATGAAAGTTTTAAATAATTAGTAATAACCAAACCCACATTCATGAAAAATAAGAACTATAGACTCATCGACTTAAGTATAAATAATTATTTGCGTTATTCAATATTTTTAAACGTTTAAATTATGGCACTTACCATCGTTGTAAAAGTATAATACATAACCGACAGAAAGTTTTTAATAAAACACGTGGTACTTTCCGTTTCTAGTGCTTAATGACTATCAGGTTATTAACATTAACACATTACCTTAATGATAAAATCGCTTCATAGTTCATATACAATTAAATATTAATATTTGTGTAGGTAAGTGTACACATTATATATCAACGTCAAAAAACGAAGGTCGTGAACGCGCAGAACAATTACTATTAGGTTTTTATTACTCTCTTCTCAGTACCGCAATTGGATATCATATCCCATCGAAGAATATTTCTGTTCTGTATAGAAAAAAGTACATAAATATTATTAGAAAGTAAATAACGAATCATGCATAAGTTAAGAACGTGCGCCAAAAAGCTTCGCTGTAGCTTCCCACAAGATGATGTCAATAACTTTTGAACTAAGATTCGCTAAAAGTCTTACTCGACCTCTTTCCTACCACGATTTTAGTATATATATATATATATATATATATATATATATATATATATATATATATATATATATATAGTCTTTGAGAACAATTTCTGTAACAAACATACACCATCATTTTGTCCGTCTTGTTTAAGTTATCTATTCGGTATTCATACTTTGTCGAATTTATTTTAACTGCGCTTACAAATATGACCATGACATAATAATATCATTGTCATTCGGTAAAAATAAATAATTAAAAGCTTTAAGTATTTATTGAAAGTTTTGGTTCCGATAAAAATTATTATTAACTAGCTGAATATTCGCTAAATGTGTTAAAAAATGTAACAAAAGAAACAAACAGAAAAGTTGTTGTGATGTAAGTATGCAACTGCCAGTCCTTGGTAGATATTTTTTGAACGTTCTTAAACGGAAATTCATACGAGGACTGTTTGCATAATGCTTTGCTTACAAAATGAGATTCTGGCCTCCACATTTAGTCGAGTTATTTTGTCCGATTTAAAAAGGTTTTCCTGTAATATGTTAAAGGTAACGTGCCTGCTATGACGTGTTTTTCTTGTTATTTATATATATCTGAAAGAAAAGATAATAAGGAAATGAATAAAATGGCCGTCCGTCTTTGCACACAATGGCAAGGAACGTGATTGAGCGCATTATGTTGATATATAAGAAGATATTGGTAGGTCGTGGAGGCGCGGTCGCGACAATCTGTCGCCTAGTGGCAGTGCCAGCAACTCACCCTCGGTATGTATGACTAAGCTAAAATGAATGCGAACACAGCTACAGTTTATTACGAATGCACATCTACTTACTTCTGCTATAATACATGGGTAAATGCATTCACGTTTCTCGCGACAAATGTGGTATAATTTCATGCCAATTTAATTTTAAATAAGACCGCCGTACAGGCCAGACCATTTCGGATGAAGAATTGTCCGTTCAGCAAAAAACAACATTTAGTGGTTTTATAAAAATAAATATACATGAGTTAAATTAAATTTTATGACCAATGGCCGCAGGCTGAAATACGCTAACTAAAAACACAATGTTTTTCGTATTATAATTCTATAGATCTAATTAAATATTATTTATAATATATTTTTTTACATTATATACGAACGAGAAAGTTTTTATTAAAGTATTATACTTATAGATCCAGTAGATTGATTTTTTTTTAATTTCTTTGTGTTTTTTATAAACTATTCTCTATACATTTTATGTTCCTATCACATGTATGCTTACGGTATTCAGATATACCGCCATTCAACACTGGGTAATTTGAGCACTACCATGAACACGATGAATAATTATAATTGGAGCAAACTATACAGTCTTAATGGGAGGACCGATTTCGGCCACGGCGGTCAATCTCATTGAGACTGCCTGCGCAGGAGATATTATAGTGCACAAGTATGCGCGCAAACACAAGTGCACTCTCTATTCCTGTCACTCCACTGGGATGACTCCTCGATATGACCAGTGAGACTAACGGCTTTACGTGCTCTTCGAGGCACGGATGTGAAACACCGCCAACTTCCGAACTCCGGGCTTTTACTGTTACTTCGTTAACAGAAAGGCTCAATAACTAAACTTGGCCCGACCCGGAACTCGAACTTAGGACCTCTGGATGTGCTGCCGTATATGCTAAACACTATGCCATCAAGGCAGTTAGCGGGTTTTACGATAATCCTGATAAGTCACAGGTGATAATTATTGGTAGCCCAAGCCTGATTGCAAGGATTGAAGGCTTGAACTTACCTTCGATAGAGTATTATAGAGCTGTAATACCTTATTGTTTAACATTTAAAGATCTTGGTGTTCACACACCAGACCAAACTTTATCTTGGTCAGGACAAATGAATGAAGTGAGTAGGAAATTATTTCTTAAATTGGGTTCTTTGCGGCTTTTTTCCGATTCTCGATTATTCGGACGCAAGCTATATTAATCTGACTGAGGACCATCGAGATAAACTAAGCGACTCCAAAATCTTGCACATCGATTCATATTTGATTGGCGTAAATGTGACCACATTTCTGAATTTCGAACGAAATTGAAGTGGCTCCCAAACCACTGTGACCGGAATCTACACATTCTGTCTCTTCTGTACTGTACATATATTGTTTAATCTAACATATCCACCTTTTTTCAAAGATGTTTGAATTTCTAGGAACTCATACATAGGTTAAGATCTTGAGAGAATTTCATGATAAGAATACTTGTACATTTAAGTAAATTATTTGAGCACATTCTATACAAGCAACCTAGCTCTGGAAAAGTTTTCTGTTCGTATAAAACGTTCCAAACCATGAAAAATTTAAAAAAATATAACAAATATTTTTTTAGATCATTTCCCTAAATGAGAAGTCGACTTGTGTAACATTTATATTGATTATTTAAATATGTATTAGTATAGTTTAGAGATATATAATATATATCTAGGATAAATTTATTGTATAGAATTTCTAAGTATTAAGTATATATTGTATATTATATTTACACCACCCACACCATATTTCCGTATTTCCTAACCCAAAGGTTGTCTGGAAGAAATCGATTATTAGCGATAAGACCGCCTTTTATGCACATTTTTGTTTTTAGAAACTTTGTTTAGTGCATTAATTATTTCATTACTGTGGTGTACAATAAAGTGTCCAAATAAATAAAATGATAGTAATAAATATGTGGTTTTAGGAAAAAAAACAAAGTTTAAAAAGTTTTAAATAACATACATTACAAATTACAAAATCTGAAACTGCTCCCTATTCAAATTGTGTTAATTACCTAATAATTAAGATGTAGATAGGCCCAAACGTAGTTGACATATTAATTTTCAACTTCGAATTTATGGATCGACAATCTGTTTTTCTTATTTTTGATAAATAAATTGATAATGGTTAAATCATTTTATCGGGAAGCCATATGCTTCCGCATTTCCACAACTAGGAGCCAGAGTTAGCCTACACGTAGAAGAATAAATTTAAACCCGTAGGCACTGAAATAAAAATTTGTTTCAATAGGAATTTCCATCTGATAGGAACTCGTAGCTTGCGGGCGTTGTGCAGTGCTCGCTCGTGTTGTTTAGTACTTAGAATTTATTTCAGTCTTACTTTATATTTTTGTTTACCTACTCTTGAATTGTATATCCACATAAGTTACAATATTTAAAATAAAAAGAGAACGCCTTTTTTTTGGTTCTTTAAAATTTTGATTATACTACTAACTTTAATTTTTTTTATCACGATATACCTATGCGTAGCTATAACAGAAATATACTTAAACTTATGATATGGGAAGGTATTGTTTATCGAACATCTAGAATAAATTTTCATGCTTATATTCGTTGGTATATTTATATGGTAGAGATCTTGGAACTTCTGAATGACTTGTTGGACTTTAATGCTAAGATAAAAAATCGGGCAATTGCGAGTCTGACTCGCATACTGAGGGTTCTGTAGCATGAAATATTAAAATAAGTTTATAATTGTAAGAGAAACCATTATGATGGTTACATCATTTTGTGAGTGTCAAAATCTGTGGCATAAACGGCCGTATCTTTTAATTGCGTTGTCTTAAAAGTTTGATTTTTTCACAGCTTCAGGGGATTGCTGATCTAAGTATTTGATATTAACTTCAACTTGATACCTCCATATGTTCCTGAGAAAAAGGGTCCTGACAGACAGATACACAGACATAAGGACAACGACGTGATCTTATAAAGGGTTCCTTTTTTCCTTTTGGGATACGTTATTAATAAATTTTATTTGCAATCAAGTCTGTTGGACTAATGGTATTATATGAATAAATCCATTAATTATAAAAAATACATAAAAAATAATAAAAATACATTAATTTACCTATAATAATAGTATGAAATTGTTTGTTTTTTTATATATATTTTTATATATAATAGATAAGTTTAATTCTTATACGCAAAGTTTTTTGCAACAAGCAGAAGTAGCAGTTAGAAAAAAAGATTAAATCTTGTTTATTTCTTCGTCCCGCTTAGGTAACCCATTTTACAGCCAAAGCGTTGAACGAATCTTGATGGGCATAAAGATAGCTTGCAGTACGGAGATGGACATAGCGAACTTTTTATCCAAGACATAAAGAGTTCTATTTCCGCTAAAACTATATTAATATAATTTAACAATGATTAATATAATATTATTACAATAAAAATAAGATATAATTAAATATAACAAAAAATATTAACATAGAGATACGCAGAACTAAGTTTTCTTAACGTCATTCTAATATATTAACCTTTATCTACATATCTTCTATTTTTATCATACAAATTTACTGCCATATCTTGAGTAGATACTACTAATCAATCAAAATTAATCATATAGTAATTTATCCATATATGTACTATTATATAATAACTGGGAATCCAAAATATATTGAAACATTCGTCGAAATATTTTTTTCATAGTGTATTAAATCATATTAAATTCATCTTTTATAGTTAGGTTTCTTATGTAGAGTTCCATTTATTTTCGGCTTCTTTTATGTGAGAAATGCTAAACCTACTCTAAAAACTTTTTACAAATTCCTATCCAAAAATGCACGTCTATTTGTGTACCTATTTTATTTTGCAACTTATCTTCCGTAATTTTTAAATTGTCTTGAATTAACATCTCTACGTGAGAGCTAAAACGAGTTTGTTGAACGCCTAAATCTTTCGAAATAAATAGTAACTCATAATAGAGTAGTTAAAATCTAAATTAATCAGAATATAACTTTTTTAATGATGTTCTTCTTTAGATACAACAAAAAAAGGTATAAGGGTTTTATTATCTCTACTTATCCAAGTGACAACTTCTTCATGTGTTCTTTATGGAGATTAAGTTACTATATTTGTAAAAATATTAATACTTCTCTGCTGCCCTTTTCTTTAACTTCTACATTTAATACATAGTAATCATATGATAAATTTGCCTCGGCGGTGTATTGGCTAGCATGTACGGCTGGACACCCGGAGATCCTGGGTTCGAGTCCCGGGTCGAGCCAAGTTTAGTTATTGAGTCTTTCTGTGTAAGTAAGCTTCAGTAAAAGCCCGGAGTTGAGAAGTTGGCGGTGTTTCACCCCCGTGCCTCGGAGAGCACGTAAACCCGTCGGTCCTGCGCCTTGACTCTCACCGGTCGTGTCGAAATATCGTCTCATCGGACTTTGAGGATATAATATAATAAAATTGTAAGTAAGCCGAATCTGTACCTTAAATATTTTTTGGAAAATGTTATTGAAATAGACATTATTATCGACATAGAGGCAACTGTAATGTAAGAGTATACTTATATGTAAAACCCAAGAATTTGCTTTTGGTCATCTGAACGCGGGCAGAGCGGTGGGCAATGCTAGTAATTATATATTAGTCGTACAGTAACTTGATTAATAGTCACTTTCAAAATAAATATTGAGACGTGGAGGCACCAACACTGCGCTGTGTCTAACGCGATTTTTCTCAGAGCCTGTCGTTTCATCCAACCAGAATCTGAGTTTGAATTGACTCTGTTACCGGCAAGCTTCGATACGTCTTTCCCCATCCGCTTCACATGTTCTATTCTTGTTAAACGTACTTTCCAAATATACCATTTCATTCATTTGTTCAAGTAATTTAGAATCTTAATTTTAGTCGTAATCACACTTCATCTTTTTAAAAAAACCTTAACGCATATACTTCACTATTTTTTTTTCTTTTATATTAATTAAATAATTTTAAATATATTAAGAACTAGAAAAAAGTTTTTTATTATTTTTTTATAAAAAACAAAAGCAACGAAACAAATTCTGCTTTTTTAAATTACGATAAAATGAACAATTTCTATTATAATGACTCCGACTTGTACTAACATATAGGCTACGGTTGGGATGCATTTGAGCGAAGCGAAGGCACAACATGTTTCCTTCTTCTATTTCCCTCTATCTCAGCCATTTTGTACAAAATAGTTACAAACTTAGAAAAGCACGAACAGATCTATCCCACGGGAGTCGTTCATTTTTCCGGGATAAAAAGTAACCTGTTGTTTGACCGGAAATATAAGATATCAGCAGCAAAATTTTACTAAATTAATTTACTGTATAAGTTACTTTAGTTTTTAACTATCCCATGGGAATTCTTTAATTTTCCAGGATGAAAAGTATCTTAAACGTTGGCCGGGGATATAAGGTACCACCATACAAAATTTCATTTAAATCAGTCCAACAGTTTCGGAGATTAGCCCGTACAAACAGACAAACAAAAAATTTGAACTCCCTTTCCTGAGTCAGTTTTTAGCATGTTTTTTTCTATGTAGAGACATTCCACCTCTACAGTTTTATTATATGTATAGATTATATATATAAACCTTCCTCGGATATCGCTCCTCCCATTAGTGAAGACTGTATCAAAATCCAGCGACTCTGTTTTATACTATGTACGTATATAGATATATGTAGATTTGTATTAATATTTTTAAAATATAATTTTTATATTTATAAAATAATATTAAAAAAGCTTCATATTGAAAGTAGATTGAATTTTCTTCTTGCACTTAGAAAGGCTTTAATGCAATTACATAACACGAGCCGTCGACTTAAACACGACAGCGTTATCGCAGCTCTATTATCGACATAAATAACGTGACACGTCTATATTTCTTTATGTAAGTTTGAAACTGCAAAGGTTTTTCAGTAATCATTCGGTCTACGACTGTCGAGCTATAAAATGGTGTACTTAAGTTTATTGCTTGTTTCTATAATCTATATAAAACACGCCTCACTGTACATGTGCCGTAAAAGTGTAGTTTGCCAAAAGTCTTGTCCAATGCTGTGTCGTGTCAACGATATGACGTGTGGAAGTAATGCAATTTAATGCAAATGTGATTGTTACAGAATGTAGTTTGCGATACAAGAACGAATTTGCCGTCGTTTGATGACTTAATGTGTGTGGAAGTGTTCCAGATAATACTCGCAAACATCTTGTGACCTACATACATTGTTCCCTATACTTGAGTTCTTCAATATTGAAAGGATTTTCATTATTCATGTTATCAAACAATAACATGTAAATAATATCATTTAATTTATAGTAAATTCTGATTTAATTAAATTATCTCTATTAGTAACACAATTTTTGAACTGAAATCAAATTTTTGTAATCAAATATTAGGTAGGCCCAAAATTAACGAACTTCATAGGATATTTCGATAATAAATAACATTATTTACATTATTTTTATCGTTTTAGTTGTAGTGAAATAGCTTTTCAGCTCTTTTATAGAATTTCTACCATTATCTCTTCCGATGAAGAGACTTGCACATTTTCGGTAAGGTTTTAGGTTAATGAAGACCACAGAAATCTTAATAATATACCTTATTATTAAGATTTCTGTGATGAAGACAGTCATGCATAAGAACAATTGAATTTAATTTAACTTGTACATACTGTTTTTATTAACCTTACCGGAAATCTCTTCTCATTTGTCAGTTTAAAATGAATTCAATATGGCTTACTAAATATCGCCAAACCAAAGACTAAAAAGGTGATGGATTATTAATACTTCATATATTTCCATAAAAACTAAATTGACATATTTAAAAATTAATTTAAATACAAAGTAAATAGGTGTATAGATCCGTAAAATATCCGATTCCTGTACTTTCTTAGCTAAATTGAAAACAAAATGTCTTTGATGTTCCACAAACCTTTATACATCTAAACATATAAAATATAATATACATCTATACATAAAAATCTATATATATAAATTCTAAACCGAATCTGTACATTAAATATTTGTTGGAAAATCTTATTGAAATAAACATTATTATCGATACAGAGACCGAATCTATAGTTTTTAGAATTTTTGTCTGTCTGTCTGTTACTGCATCACAGAAAAACCACTGGAGGGATTTTGATGAAATTTGGTATGGTGATAGCTGGTTATCCGGGTCAACATATAGGATACTTTTTAATAATACAAAAACTTCAATGTAAGAGTATACTAAAATGTAAAACCTAATAATTTGGTTTTTGGTCATCTGAGCGCGGGCGGAGCCGCGGGCAATGCTAGTTATATCTAAATAGGTACATATTTTGTATGTCACGACGGTACACACATAAGATAAAGGAGAGGCAGGCCGCCAACAAATTTAATATTGTTTTCAAATAGAAACTTAAATTTACTTTGTAGTGGATGGTTTACTAGTTGACAAATGGATAAAGTTTAACATGCTTTGCACATCAAGTTATATAAAAAGGTCTATGTTATTCTATACTAGCAACTCACCTTCGCTCTACTCGGGTTCGTCCCTAGTTACGATTTAAGTACATTAGTATAGATTTTTTAGACATGAGATCTTTTCCCGCAGTAAAAAGTATCCTATATGTTGACCCGGATAACCAGCTATATCAAATTTCATTAAAATCTGTCCAATGGGTTTTTCATGATGCGGTCAGAGAGACAGACAGACAAAAATTCTAAAAACTGTAGATTCGGCTTCTCTACTGATAACAATGACTACTTCAATAACATATTCCAAAAAAATATTTAATGTACAGATTCGACTCAGAATTTTATTATATGTATTATGTATAGATAGATTTATATATTAGGTATACTATCTATTTATATAAAAAGGTCTTGAAACCTTTATCACAATCTAAATTCAAAAGCATGTCAGGTTCTCCACAGATTGTTAAAAAACAATAATTAATTAATAAAACGTTTTATCCTGTTTACTTTCTAAATAAAATAATTAATCACATACATAGGTGTATCAATTTGTAAAAAAATAAAGTGTCAAAAATAAGAGCCATCGAATGCATCATACGCTCCAGATTCTAGACTTTTGAGTCTGGCGTATGATGCATTCGTTTCTTTAGGATCGATACAGTTATAGAATCAGATTTCTTTTATATGTTACATTTTATGACTAAAATGATAAAATATTTAAAAATATAACCAACTTGACACATTTTACTTTTTTTAAATGGCAACTTTAACAGCTATTCCATTCGTGACTTCTAATCAGCACACATGAATGCCTCTTTTGTTACACCTCTGATATACATTTGCGGAAACAATGACAGATTGGAATCAAGGCTACACAGTTACAATCTATTCAACCCTTGACTCGGCTTAGTGTTATTAGATTAGCTATTTAGATTTAGAATCATGTATATGTAGATTATAGCGATAGAGTGTACATTTATATCTATGTTTTATGGTAATCGTTTTTTTCAAAAAAGGAAATATTGGTAGAAATAAAAGGAAAACTTTATAAACTTCGTCATTTAAAATTTATTTTTTCGTAAACATAAAACGCAATATAATTAATTTATTTAATACTAGCATAGCCCGCGGCTCCGCCCGCGTTCAGATGACCAAAAACTAAATTCTTAAGTTTTACATATTAGTATACTCTTACATTGCAGTTTTTGTATTTTTTCTCATTAATGAGATATTTTCCCGCAGTAAAAAGTATCCTATATGTTGACCCGGATAACCAGGCAACATACCAAATTTAATCAAAATCAGTCCAGTGGTTTTCTCGTGATGCGGTAACAGACAGACCGACAGACAGACAGACAGACAAAAATTTTAAAAACCATAGATTCGGACTCTGTATCGATAATAATGTCTATTTCCATTAGATTTTCCAAAAAATATTTAATGTACAGATTCGGCTTAGTTACAATTTTATTATATGTATAGAAGTAGATATAATTTAGATACTATACAAAGAATTACTAGTGCAAATACGGCAATTTAATTTTATTGCCAGTTTTACTAACCTTTAAAGATATTTTAATAGCTTGTACATACTGTAATTTTTTAAATACTTACCTATCTTACTGAAAATCTCATCTATCTTTCAGTTTATTGAAATATGTAGACGCTAAAGTCGTAAAGCCTTCAATTCAGAGTCGTTCAAGCAATTTTATTTAAACTAGCGCGCTCATGAAATGAATTTAATTGCAGAGATTTCTTGAACCATATATTTAAGGTAGTCGCTCTGATAGAATAGCGATTAGCGCTTACCTTATCACAGAATGATTCAAGTTGTTACTAGTTGGTTTCAAATTATTATTTACCAGCGATTATATTTATTAGATATTATTTACTGACTTGCTTCCCAATACAAACTTTCATCCCCATTTTCACCCCCTTAAGGAATTATTTCTGGGATAAAAAGTATCCTATGTCCTTCCCAACGTCTCAAACTATCTTTTTACCAAATTTCCCCCTACAACGTCACAAACTCACAAACTTTACCTCTTTATAATATTAGTATAGACTAGTATAGATATACTAGATAGTCGAATCGTATAGTTCGAGTAAAGATTTAAACTAACGTATTTACTTACATCTAGCGACTTACTCTCTCTTCGCTTGGGTGCGTATTTAAGTGGCTAACAGTAGAATTATGCCTTACTCATGGTTATAGCCCTTCTGTTTATTAAATGTCATTCAAATCCATCCAGCCGTTTGAGTGTGAAGAAGTAATAAATATATTTAATAACAAGGTTTACTAAATATATTGAAAGTAAACATATGTATTGCACGAAGAGATCGAAACAAATAGGTATTGTTGCAGATAGAGTGGAGTCGCGAACGAGACGAGGTGGGGCAGGGAGTGGTGATGGAGTTAGTAATACTGAAAGCGCGAGCCCAACTGAATCGTCTAGTGTCGGGTGAGAAGCGCGCGAGCGGCGGCAAGGAGCGGGCCGAGCGCGCGGGCGGCGGCGGTGGCGCGCGGGCGGCGGCGCGCGCGCGCAGCATGGCGCCCGCGCCCCCTCGCGCCCGCGACCGCCGCGCCCTGGCTCAACGCCACGCTAGCGTACAACCTCTCCCGCATCAACGCCACCTTCGACACCGACTACGAGCTACTCAACGCCAACGCCACGGACGACCACGACAACCACTGGTTCTGCGCGAAATGGACTAGCGCTCAGCAGGATCTCTTTCAGGTTAAAGATAGTTGTCTATATAAGTAATGTCCTCCTGACCGTTGACCGTTTTCGACCACGGCCCGTAAACACAAGTGCACTCTCTATTCCTGTTGGTTATTGCGGGACCTGGGACTCGAACCCAGAACCTTCTGATCTGTAGTCATACATGTTAGCTAGTAGACTACTACTAACTACATACACATATTTAACAATTTAATAGTTGCATTCGAATTCATTTCATATTTTGGCGACTTTTATGATTCAATTACTTCACTCGATGTAGGCTGCAAATTTATGCTTCGCGATCGCGTTCCTTGCACCGAAGAGTTTCAAACAGAGCATTCTGGTACTACGCGCGCTGGCCGCGGCGGGCGCTGTGTTGATGGGCATGTGGGCGGGCGCCGAAGTGTGCGCGCCCGATGTCCTAGCCTGGAACCTTGCTCTGGTCCTCGTCAATTCTATTCACACTGTCTTCTTAATTATAAGGTAATCCTGGCATTATTTTCTACATTTATTCATATATTAGATACCTACAAATAATAATTAAAAGCATATTTACGCAATAATTTATTAGAATTTTAGACTCTAATTATTTTACACGATTGATTATTATTATTCTTTTAGTTACAACTTACTTACAAAAGCTAGGTTTGTATTTTTACAGGATTGTAGATCCTTGGAAAATCTAGCTTACCAAATTTAGTGACCTTATATAGTTACATTAGATTTAATATACATAGCTCTCTTATCTACTCATTTTAGTGATGACTGCAAATATTTCTATTAGATTACACTCTTTATTATGCGTATAGTTATTAAGAGCGGTGAATTTTATCGGGGTTTTAAGCTTCTCAGGCCTAGTTTCGTGTTCTGTTTTAAGCTACATTTTCTCAGGTTTCTTCCACCGGCGTTGTCATTAGAGCTGACTGATTTGTACCTGAAACTGTTCAAGCCTCTGAAAGTGAATAAGAAGCACTTTCAGGAGCTAACTCGGGAAGCGAGAGTCGTGAAGCTCGAGCCGGGAGAAGCATACGCGGTCGAGGAAGTCACTCCGGCAGACGAAAGATTGTCGATATTATTGAAAGGAAAGTATGTAATTACTCAAACTATGTGGATATAAATGATTCGTTTTCCTATTCAAATTATGTCGATATCTGAAAAAAAAATGTATCAGAAAGGTTCTTTTTTGTATATTTTTAGAAAAAAAATGGTATCAGTTATTTATTTTTAACTACAATTTAAATATACTGTCACGATGTTTTCCCCAACTAATGTTTTTGAACATATACATATATAACCGTAATATTGAAGTAATAAAAAAATTATAATAATACCGAAAAATTTACAACATAACTAAAACCGAAAATATATTTTTAATGCCCATTTTCTAGGCCGAAAATTATAAAGAAACTTTTGAAAGAAAATTATCAACCATTAGTACCTATAGTATAAACATACAAGTAGTTTGCACATTAGAACCGTTTCAATAGAATAGTGTATAATGTATATACATAGGTATATAGACTATAGTACAATAAGTTATAGTTTTGTAAAATTTAATTAGTGGTAAGTAGTACACAGAAGCTTTCATAGCTTGGGCTTGGTTCTTGTTGCTCTATTTGTTTGGGAGTAACTGGTCCCCTATATTTGTAAAGGTTACGAATAACAATATTTTACAACCAAACTTTGAGCAAATTCTGAGGCGCGATAGGACATGTTTTTTTAATTATTTTGTAGTATAAAGAACAATTATTCAATATTGGTGGAGATGTAGCATGCTGCATTTTGCTGCACGTTAGTTATAACAGGCAAAGCGAGCAATTTCCTTCACCCACGCAAGTCGGATCGCGGTCAAAATCCATTTTGCTATAAGTTCGTTCGGTGCTGTCTTGAATCTTGATGCCGATGCTCGAGCCCGCCAACTATTTGTTTTATTTAGTGTGGGGATGTATATCACACATGTTACTTACATATTTATGTAACGGAATGGCTGCTTATATTGCGCAACTTTAATATCGCACTATATTAAATAAAATATTATTGTAACGAACGCATGATTAGTTAAGATCTTTCGTTTATAATATATATGACACGAATTTAGTTCTCTTTTGAGAATACCTTGAAATTGAGTAAGTACCTACAAGAAAATATATTTTTTATTATACAATAAAACGCGAGGTGAGTTCTGTTCAGCATTTTATGTCTTGACCCTAAACTCTTAAGAATTTGTCCGAAGTGATACGTCTACGTAATATTTTATACATGTCTATATACATAAAAATGTTTGCTAGTATTCAATAAACCGCCAAATTACGAAAGTTCTTAACCGATTGCTAATACATTTTTACTCATATACCTAAATATATTTAGATCGAAGAGTTATTGGTTGTATTTAATAGATGACACTGCAGGAGATCAATTTCTACGCCGTTGAAATTGGTATAATTAGAAGATTGAATACGGAGTAGATTTTTGAGTATCTATTTAAGCGGAAGGAGCCGCGAACAAAGACTAGTAAATATTTTTAAAATTACCTTCACAATAATAATTTAAAGCTGCAGTTTTAATATGGAATGAATACATCTAAGCATATAAATTGTTTTCTATTTCCTAAGGATGCGAGTGAGTTGCGACGAAACTCATCTACATTATATCCAGCCTTACCAGTTCGTCGACTCGCCCGAGTGGGAGGCGAACCGTGACCTCTCGGACGACGTCTTTCAGGTAAGTAGTATTTTATGTTTTGCTTTCCGCATGTTTTTTTCTTTTTTTACTTTAAAAATGTAAAAAAATACCTGAAACGCCATGAAATTAGATGCCTCATAAAATTAAAGAAATTATGTTTATCATAATATTCTAACTAAGCAAAGAGTACGACGTCGTACTTAAAAAACTTCTTTAAGAAACAAAATATCTTCATTTTACTCGCTACTTACCTAAATCTCGACAAACGTGTATGACTAAACCAAAATTAGCTTTATATTTTAATCTAACATCGACTTCTATGAAAACAGATGAATTAGTGGTAAATTTTTAACCGACTTCCTCAAAAAGGAGGAAGTCGGTTGCCAGCCCATACAAAGCAAAGCACACCGACTTCGAAAATATTTGATTAGGTATGTATAGTAAATGAAAACTACCAATCAGTTATTTTTTACTTTTTAGTGCTCTTGTTTGAAGTCGGTTTTTATTTTATTTTTTAAATAAATTATTTTAATTAAAATCCTTCACTTTGTTTTCCAATCTCGTCTTATATCTCGTTCTAGAAGAATGATTAAGTAATCTAAAAGATAATGCAATAAACCATGTTATTAAAAATATATTAACAGATAACAAAATTTTCATATTGGAAGCAAAGGATTATGATAATCTTTCTATATTCAAATATGACAAAGTAGGATAATACTATCAAATTTAATTAAAAAAAAGCCATTCAACGTGTACAGAAGAGGTAATGACAAAACTCATTAAGATTCTTCGCACGATTAACTTCAATAATTCGAAGTGAGACATGAATAATGTATTGAGGGTGTGATGGACGATTTATCTCAGGAAATAATTGGAATAATGTCGAAATAATAAAGCATTTGGATATTAGCTAACAATACCTATATTAGTTCGATATTGCTTGTAAGAGTAAATCGGTTTACTTAAGTCATACTTCATAAAATTTAAATATCACTGTAAAATTTAAATAATACTGTGTTATATGGATTTAATCTGCAATAACTAGTTTTATATATCAAAAACTTAAAAAACTTCTAGAGTTCGCTCTGCCTATTCCATAAAAGAAAAGAATTATATTCAGAAATTCTAAGTTTTTTAGAACATATAAAAATAATATGTAATCATAACAAACATTGCATATCCCTGTAATAAGACATTACTAAATATTATATGCAAATAAGAATTATAATCGACCATCGATAACAGAGCATTCACCATTTACAATGTCGGGGGCACTTTGATGCATTTCCATCGGCGGTTGCAGGTGACCGTGGTGGCGGAGGAGGTGTGCACGTGCGTGTGTTGGCCGCGCATGCGCCTAGAGCGGGTGCTGCGTCACCGCCCTGCCCTCAAGGTCGTACTCGACTGTCTCATAGGTCAGTCCACTTTTCAAAATACTTGCTCCTTCTGTACCTTTTAATGCCACTCAGAAAGTCTGGCTTTTCCTATACTAAACAATGTTAAATATTTATATTTGTATTATTATTTTTTTAGTTTAAAATAGGACGTAAGTATAAGAATTATATTTTAATTTTCAACTGATTTAAATTGATAAGAGCGCATTTTAATTTGTAGTATATAAAATAAAATAATAAATAAATATATCGGAACATTAACACACAGGACAATCTAGTTCTATGGTAAACTACGAGGCTTGTGTTATGGATACCAGACGGTTGATACACTACACATATAAATATAACTTTAAATACATACATATTATAAATATAAACACCCATTACTGGAGTACAAACATTCGTGCTCAGCACACAAATGACCCAGCCGGACTTGAACTCGCGACCTCTGGCACAGTAAGTAGGGTCACTACAAACTAAGCCAAACGTGTAGTCAACATTAAATTAAGTGTAACTATTTTTTATTTGTCAATAAATTTCTACTTGGACTGTGGAAATAAAGTTGTAACTTTTGCAGACTATTACGACCAATTTTAATTTTAAGTTATGTTTTAAGTCAAAGAAATACTTAACACAGAGTGTTACCATCATGTGCGTTCATCTTGTCGTGTGTAACTGCATTTTCCCAACGTTAATAAAAAGAGTATTTTCCATTAATTATATAATTATGTATTCTTTTATATCAAAATCAACTTCGGGAGAAAGTAAATCTAACGTAAAAATAGGCGATAGAAGCACTTCCTAACTCTATTAATCTTAAAGATCGCTCAATATTATACACTTAAAGTAATAAATAAAAAGCATTATTTAATACTGCTAATCGTAACCAATATCGAAAAAAATGTAGTCAGGTCATTTAATAATCTTCTTGAAGCTATAATCTAAGCTCTACAATCTGGAGGAGTTGCTCTAAAATAAATCAGCTTTCATATATATAACTTTCTTATTATATACCTTCATGCAATTATTGTATATTTTACTTGCCACATTAAACAAAGCAGAGAAATTAAAAGCATACACAAAAAAATTATAATACATTAATTATTAAATAAATATATAAAGACTTTTTTGCATGTCTAAAATGGGTATTGTTATGTAAGAACGCTTTTGTTCCTTGGACCGCTGAACGTGTAGCAATTTCCTGACACAATTAACGTATTTTCATTCTACTTAAGCCCTGCCCTGAATAAAGTACTGAAATAAAATACTTAATAGAATTTCACTAAAATACTGATTGAAATGTGGTTTAGTTTGTTATATTCTGCGCTTTGCATTATTATAAAATAACAATAAATTGTTATGGATACAGGGTTTTGATGGATGCTACTAAAAACATTTAACATATAAGGTTATTTTTAATAATAGGTACTTATAAGATTTTTTAAAATTTTGGTTGTTAACTTTTTTGAATATAAAATCATATTAAACTAAAATTATTTGAACCAAACAAGAATCTAATCTACTGAAAGTGAAAGCTGAATCCTGATATACCTACTCATTATGATCTTATAATATTTGTTTTGACACATTGCGTAATAAGATGATAGGTTTACATAATACGTATCTAACTATGATTACAGGTAAAGATATAACGCACAAGCTGTATTCTGTAAGTGAAGGCCTAGGCGCAGGGGTGACTGCAGATGCGGAGGGTGCGCCCGCGCATCTCACGCGCTCGGCCAGTGTGGACGCGGTGCACGAAGGCGCACGCGGCCGGCTGCGTAGCCTTGCGTGGCGTGCGCGATCCACATCCGTACATACAAAAGGTGAAAAGTGACATAGTATGCTAAATACAGCGCTTGCAAATTTAAACAAAAATAGTGAAAACCATACGAATTTAATGATTATATAATGAAACAAAGTGTCGTAGCATATAAAATACATAAACAGAAAAGTTATTATTAAATTCATATGAGCCATTTAATCTAATCTTGTATTCATATCGAGCTTCAGCAAGCTTTATATAAACAGATCTGTGTACATTTATTTTAATACTTAGGGGAATAAAACATTAACTATATTTATTACAGGGAGTTCATACTGGCAGCCAGTAGTAGCACGCCAGTTCCTCCGACATTCACCATTTGGACGTAGCGTGATACCCCCGCCACGGCTACTGGCACAGGCGTCGTCTGCCAGCTTGCAGCCCGCCCGGCGGAGTCCGCCTCGGCGCACTTCGTTCCGAAGAAGCCGTGAAGTAAAGTTCGCGGAGAGCCCAGTGGAGCCACTGTGACGCGGGCCGCGGCCCCAGCCCGAGCTGGTGCCGCTGGTTGGGCCCCCCTGCATATCTCCCACGCCCACGCCCCACTTCCCTTGACGAGAGAACGAGCGAACGATAAATACTACTGACTTCTAGTAATGAGATCTTATGGTGCGTACAGATTGGCTATTTTGGTTTTTTATTGGATTGTGTTAGTAACAAGTTTTATCATTACAATGAAAGTCCCTATCGACTGTAAAATTATCTGATCTAATTTTATACAGAGTTATATTACATAATTATATATAAGTAGAAGTCATTAAAGTTATAATTTACAACTACAACAACATTAACATCGAAATCAATAGGTAGTTAGTTGTATGGATATTTTATTGACATAATAATAAAAATAACACCAGTTACAATTTAGATCTGAAAATTTCACAAATTTATTTCCAAATCAGAATTATTTAAAGATATTATAAAAAATATTTTCTATAGAGTATTCTTACAATTTTGCCAGCAAGTACGCACCCTCAAATCTCTGCTAATAGATTTGTTAATTTCGCACCCTTCGTAGTACAAAGACGCTTCTAAAAAGTAACAGTACTATAAAAATGTGTAAAGCACGTGTTAGTTTTAGTATTTTTTTTATATATATTCAGATATGAGGTTAATCGCTATAATCAACTCTCTATCAACAATGGTTATTTTTAGATGTGACTATGTTTTACGTAGGGTATTTTTTATAGAAAAAAATGAGCTTCATATATTGACTTAATTTCGTTCGCTCTAATGTGTAACACTAAGTGCTCACAAAATGGAAGTGAAAAATGTGACCTGTGAAATGAACCAACAACTGTGCAATGACAGTGTTAAATAATAAAATAAACTGTAATTAATGTGTGAAAAGTAGACTTAGTTAGATTAAAATGTATTTTTATGGTGTTTTTTTTTTTGCGTAAAGCTCAAAGCTCTTGATATTTCGTTAAAGTATTCAAAATTTTCGCTTTAGAAAATGACTGATTACGATCTGTAAAGTAGAACAATCAAAAGATTTATGCTATTAAATTATGAGCAAGGGGTCGTGAATGTATTTGAAAAATATAACTTACGTTTATGTTAATAATTACATATAAAAAAATTGCAATAGCACAACATTATAACATTGAGGTTAGAATAAAAATATTTACTTTTGAACGTCATTTGCATTATAAAATTAATATTTTGTACTCGTTAGCTTCCCCCATAATTTTTAATGCTAATCACACTTAAAGTGCGCTCCATTTTATTATCATTTGGCTTCCTGATTTTTAATTATAATTACCATTGTGACAATGTTTTTTTTAAATATTAGTTTTATTACAAAGCAGAGGTGATTGCCTTTGTTTAAATAGCTGAACGCTGCCAAATGTTGGCATATAATGAGTAACAAAATGTGTATTTGTCGACTTAACGCATCTATTCTGAACCCAGATACTTAGTTCCTTAGCCATTTCAAAGCAACTTTCTAAATAAAGAAAATATACTGATGCCTTTATTCTTCAATGAAAATTTCCGATCTTTAAAAAAAAAGGTTTAAATGTTAACTGAACTAGTTAGTACCTATTAAGGCTAACTAAATATTATTATTTGTCTTATTTCGCACGACAAAGTTGAAACTCGCTAACACTTAATTATACACCTATCCCAATCCTAACATCACGTTCAATAATTTCATACTCAAAACTGGATCGTTTTTTTTTTTTAATCAAATTCTGTTTATCATCGCAGGCGGATTTGTATGCGACAAACAGAAATTATCATCATTATTTAGAAATTAACGCAAATATCGCTAATAAGCTCATAATAATAACGTAAGTGACTACTTAGAGAGAGATTTTATATGTTTTACAAAATATAAAATATTATATATTATTGATATTGATTTGTATTATCCAAAGAGCTTTCTGTACTTGTTTATTGAGCAAAAGTATTGAAAATGATAAAATGAAATTATATGACTATGTAATGATTTCTTTATTATTATAAAAATTAACATTTTTTTTGCTTACAAAATTGAATAATTTTCAAACTTGTTTTATAGTCAAAGAAAAAAATATTTCGATGAAAAAGGTCCTTAAATGTTTTATAGCGTATGTGTTTGTAATAAAATATGTATTTATCATATTATCTGTATTACTAGTTAAAGAAGTGACTTCAATACTTTAGCTCTAAAAGCGAGATACAGACCACGGATAAATATTTCAATAAAATTAATATCGATATGAAATTTATACGGCGTTAAACGAAAGGCAAGTACCTAACTTCCGCATAAATATCATATTTAGAATTCTGATAAATTCGTGCTTATTTTATTCATTAAAAAAGTTTTGGACGTATTGTTTACAACGAAACTCATTGGATATTTCGAATTTGCAAATCTATGTTACTTTATTATAGGAAATAAATAAAATAAAATCAGACTGAGCTGTTTTTATAAGTGTCTAATCAAAAACAGTCATTAAATATGTACTAAATGTTGAATACGGCCGTGTTACAATATTTTTCTGAATGTTATATTATATAGTTCGTAAAGAGTCGTTTCTCATATCCCTAAAATAAAGGTTAATGTTTAAAACGAGTCTTTACAAAATAATTTGAAATTCTATTGCTATGGAATCCGAATTTTGAGGATGGAGGAAAGTAAACACTGTTAACGGTATAAAAATTAAAATAATATTGAGAGATGAAGCACTACTCTAACAATTTTAACCTATAATATTCAGAACTGCACAATCAATATGTATATTTTATAATCATAAGACACTCAATTCGTTTTAAATTTTGACAGCTGCGCTTTTGATAAACGTTCACTATACACACTCAATGAGTTACACGTTTAGCTCTTATTATATGTCATTTCACATCAACGTAATATATCACGTCGGTGTTTAGTTGTTGTTGTCGCTTCCTAACTGTACGGTTTCAGACTAACTGGACAAATAGTGTCCATATTTACATGTAAGCCTCGTCGAACTACGGTTCAACGCTCGACACCCGAAACGAACACCGTATAATAACGACAAAAGTAAAAAGGTGAATATCTTATACGCTAACGTCTACGTAACAGAATGTTTAATTCTTCTATTTGATTGTCTTTATCATACGGCGTTTTTTGCAAATACATATCGTTCTATGTCTTCTCTTGTCTCGTTAGTTACTCGTTAAATATATCGGAACATTGTGTACCGTATGATGCGATTTACTCATCATGTGACATTTACAAATATAATATGGTCTTACGAGAATCACTGATGTAATAGAACAAGAGATAAGTGCGGTATTGTGATACAGTTATTGTTATTTACGAATAAATAAGCTCCATGTAAACGGTGTTATTGGCTTCTAAACTATACATATAAGGCTGGATAGTGAATTCGCACTGTTCTCAATGTTCACGTTTTGTATTAATAACAAAGGTAGGCCTTGCTTTTATAATGTAATAAAATGACATTGGAAAAGGCTAGTGAAATTTTGATAAACACCTAGATACAAAATAAAATCTTATAAGATATTAAATGCGGCAGATTTTCTTAAATTCGTTACAATCATGTTTAATCTAATATATATGTAGGATTTGTTGGTGACCAATTTAGTTTGTTATGTGCCATTATTATTTTGCACGTATCAACATAATGTTTTGACGACTTCGAAGTATAATCAAAAACTAAAGGTAATTCTGTAACAAAGTGCTAATACCTATCTAAGTAAGTACATCTTCCTTACTAATTTGCCTTATCATATCACAATAACAATATACTTCTAATAAAATATTGGAAATCAAAATCTTATAAAATAACCAGAGTATTTGAAAGATAAAGAGGTAATAACGAATGATTTAAATAAAGTCTTCCACTGTTATCAATTGTTGTAGTATTCAATTTTCTATATTTCAAATGCGTTGTGATTAAAGTTATTTGACTGTACTTCCAAACCAATTAAGATATGTTAACTAATTGAAAAAATCAAATAAATATATTTGTTAAAATACACTAAATAAAAATAAAAATTAAGCAAGGTCCTGCAATATTTTAGTATAATTTTAGCTAAAACTTAGCAGATAATGTTTTGTAGGAAGACATACGTTTTTTTTTAATATCTAATTTTCATCATTCATTTGTTTTTATAGTATGGAGGGTAATAAGATGTCTGTACATACCTACTTACGTTAGTAGTTATTTGTATTTATTTAAATTTAAATATATACAACTTAATTGTCATCTCAATAAGTTAAGCCTCATTTAGATTTACCTTAACCATAGACATCGAAATAGAACAAAATATATTACTTGAAATTAAAAAAAAACCAGTTCCAATATAATTTGTAATAATATGTGAGTAAAAGACTCAGACTGAGGAATAATATAGACGCAGTGTCATGGCACAAAACATGAAGTCAAGCAAAAATTTTGAGTATAATATTTTTTCGGACAATAGATTTAATAAACATAATTTAAAAATACATTAAATCTGTTTTCCTAAGACAAAAATTTTAAATTAATATGTAAACATTATTATCCGTAAAATATGTAAAACAAATATTAATACAATACTCTTGAAAATTGTAAATAAACAATTAACAAAGTTTTCTTTATTCCCTGAAGAAAGTCAGAAATCTCTATGGCGACATTGAAAATAGTACCTAAGCAAAATAACACTGTTTTTGACTTAGACAATTTTTTTGGCCGTCTATATAATTTTTTAGTCTGAATTAAATTATTAGTACATACCTATATTTATTTTATAATGGATGTAAAATATAAATTTTGTATATTCTTCATAATTAATAGTTAGATATGTGTTATAGGCAGTAACGATGTGATAAATATCCACATATACATAGACTTCTGCGTAGCAAATTAAATGCAGGTGTTTAGGTGCATTTATTTTACTTTATTATTATTATTAACGGTCCATGTTAATTTTCGGAATTAACTAAAGTGACTCTTGTATGGTAATTATTTAGTATTTGTGCTTACTGTGTTTTGAAATAGTGTTAGCTAAACAATATTCTGTCTACACTTTACGTTGAGCGCTGTCGTACACCAACAGACAGTGCAACCATAGCAGATATTGGCAGAGCGCCTCTGTGATACACGTTAGCTATTTAGGTTAGAAGTCGTCGGTTAAAAAGTATTGTGTACTCGCAATCTGATTATCATGGGTTGCTCCCGCGTCTCGTCGTGCATTACATTACCGTTATCGATTATATTATATTATTGTATTTATTCACTTTATTAACATGTTTATTATGTCTTTAATAAAAAGAATTGCTTATTATGCATATTATTTCATATTCCTATTATCCTAAAAATAGTAACATTATAAACAAAAATATTTAGTTACTATATTTTTAAGAAAAAATATCCCGCAAGTAATTCACAGAAGAAGATAAATGTCAAATGTATTCGTAAGTAGTGACTTACAAATAATTTATTTAATGCATAAATATTAAATATTAAATATAACTAAACGAAAATACTATATTAAAGAAATTATATCAACCTTGGCCTTTCACTCTGAACTGACGTACGAAGAAACGAAGCATTAAACTTCGAGTGTATATTTATATATATATTATAAACATTATTGTACGATTATGTTTAAAAATGTTAATCAATGTTGCGACCCGTTGATAATGTATTCGATAAGAGTCAGTTGTGTTCCTACTGCCAGAACTGTGTGGCCGTCATGTTCTTTATTTAAAAAAAATATATATCTTACTGACGTTGGTGAATAAAAATGGCTTTAGCTACAAGAAAGTTAATAAATTTAAGGATTTTCAATAAATATAACAAGCTCTGGTACACTACGCATACTGTAAGTTATTTTCACAAATGTTTGTTTCTCAAACTAAAAATTATTTTACTTAGGTATAACCGGTAAAAAGTCGTCAGAATTTAGTAGATAATATCAACTTTAATAGCACCTATGATGTATTAGTACAAATTTATACAATAAATACTTATACTAATAGGACTACCTATAACATCAGATATTGTGATCTATAAACATTAACCATGCATTTAAACATTCAAATAATAAACTCATTCCTAAATCGTTTAGGATCTTTTACTTTTATCGATTTATTGAACATATTGTTATTAATATAATATGTTGGTATATAAAAAAATGTAACCACCGCTAGATGTACATTAATTTCTGTAAGATAAGAATTTGTCCAAATCTTATCAAACACAAAACAAAGTGGCGTTATCACTGGCATTAATTACTATTAAGATACTTTATTATTATTCGCTTTACATAACAGCTTATATATTTTTATCTTTATAAATATATAGTGTAATGAATATTGCCTGTATCTATGCTGTTTTACTAATTTTATTTTAATTAGTGAAACCAGTTTTCTATTTTGTTATAGGTATTATTCGAAATAATGTAAAAATCGCTAGCAAACCATAAAAATAAATATTCAAATAGAGCTAATAATGTAAACAAATTGAAATGTCTACTTGAAAATTAATAACTGTTAATTGTTGACAAGTCACCAGAACTACACCAACGAAATAATTTATGACATAATTAATAAACCCATATCAATATTAATATTATAATTTATGTGAAAGTGTGTGAGGGATGGATGCATGTTTGTTACTCTTTCACGCCAGAACAGCTGAATGGATGTGGATGAAATTTGGTAATTTGTACATAGATAATAGTCTGGAATAGCAAATAGGATAGTTTTATTCCGTTAAAATATACGGTACCCGTGAGATAGATTTGTTTTTGTTTTTTCACAGAGTTTTTCTATTTCATACTAAGCGTTAAAACGTACCTAAGGACGAAGAAATGAGTCGCTCGTGGAAAAATAAATAAATCATAATGTACATCTAATTCATGAAAAATTCGCATAAAGCCTCCCCAATGTCGTTATTTTCTTTGATTTACTACAGTTATCAATGACTAACGACTCACCCTCGCTTCACTGGGGTTCGTCCCTAGGTTGATTTCCCATACATACTTTCTTCCCCATTTTCACCCCCTAACGGGATGATATCCGGGATAAAAAGTATCCTATGTCCTTCCCAGGATCTCAAACTATCTTCTTACCTTATTTAGCGATTATAGTATTTTCAGAGATTACTCCCTACAACGTTACAAACTCACAAACTTTACCTCTATAATTATTAGTATAGATTTAAAGGTACTAAACTACACTTATAATATTTAAGAAATAAATATTAGATAATGTTTGTAAATCAAGAATATTCATTAGTAACAAGGAAGGGGTTGTCTAATGTCACCTGCACCATGCTATTAACTAAAACTAAAAAAATGTAAACAAAAAAAAATATTTACAAAAATAAAAAAACTTGACTGCATAAAAAGCGAACTAAAAAGTTGACAAAGGAACATAGTAATATGCAGTCGGAGACATATTGTATACATACACACATGCGTTACTCGCAGCTAGTATAAAACGCTTTTTGCACAGTCGGTTATTTTTTTTAAACTATAGTTTTTGTAAAGATTATTTTTTTTAGCCAATTTATTATTTGCATTATACCTATCTTATGTATCTTGAGTAAAACTAACAAATTACTTCTTTTTTTATTTTTTAGAAAATACACTTTACACCATGGAAGAATTCTCATATAAGTATAAAAGTAAAAACAGAAAATTATTTAAATTCAAAATGGTTACACACTACAAGTAACGTTTACAAAACCGTAGCGTTTAATTTATCTGATATAGGAGAAGGAATAAGAGAAGTTGTTATCAAGGAATGGTAAGTTATAAATATTTAAACTAATGGCCTAAGAGCCTGTGAACGCCAGACCTTCGTCATTTATAAAAGCTGAAAGTTTGTCAGCGCATGCTCCCAAATGCTATGCTAGCAGTCTTATAAATCATCTAATTATTACCCAAGTATTATATATAAAAATCAGCTTTTAAACTATAACGTAAGTAGAATTATGATTTCATGTAAAGGGTGTCTGGCAAGGGTTTGCCACGATGTTAAGTATCTGGCATTGAATGACGTGATTTTTAATAATATTCTGAAGGTAATACCAAAAAATCACACTTTATTATTTGACGAATTTAGATCGGTATTTTACACGCCTTTAGTACCGTGTACCTGCCAAAGCCACCATAGCCTGAACTTCATAATGGTCCATCGTTCTTATCTGTGTTGGGAGCATGCGCTGACAAACTTTGAGCCTTTATAAAATGACGAAGATCTGGCGTTCACGGGCTCTTGCTCTATAAGAAAACGTGCATACGTCACCTGATCTTACTTTAACAGTCTGTGTGATCTGTATATTATACAACAATTAGGTTTGATTGAAAAAAAGTCTGGTGGGGCTGTTTCGGTTGGTCGATTTAACGCAAAATGTCTGGTTTCTTGTTATTTTTTAGTGTTAAAGATTGGAATAAAATTGACTTCGTTCTAATTGTTTCAATACTATACTGACACTAAATAGGTAGTGTTTGTAAAGTTCTTTCGATTAATATTGGACAACAAAAGAAACATAAGGCGTTGTCTACTAATTGTAAGCGTGCCTTGGCAGCTTTGAGACGCTCTCAGAACCCCCTTGCTCGCTCAACGCCGGACTTTGGGGTACCTATGCGTAGCTCATAACCCCCTCTTACCGATGACATTTCGTGATTCATATCTCTGGCTAGCTACAGCATGAGGCCAGCATGAGCTGAGGCCGATATATTGATTGTTTTTAATTTTTTTATACTTCTTGCTTATTATTTCCTATAAATTTTGTCCAATTTACACGTATTTTTATTTATATCGCGCCATCACGTGAGAGTCGTGAGTTACATCGAATACAAAGGAGCGAGAACGGCGATTATAGTTATAAATATTGAACCGCTAGTTATAAATACTTTGCATATTTTAAAACAAATTAGTAAAAATAGTATTTTTTGAAGATAGAAACGAAAAGTATAATCATATATTTGTGTATAATTTTTCAGACAATAACAACGGTTATTATGGCAACCTGATGCAACCTGTTTCGTTACGGTTCACTTTTTCGGCGTTTCACAAATGTAACTCTATTTCTCTTTTCAAATTACGAAAGCTTTCTTATATTATATACCGAACTATCCTTACCATACCGGACACACGGACGTACGTACAATGAATCTGGTTCGCTCCGAATAAAAATTCTAAAAATCCTGAATCCTAAAATTTCCCTGTAGAATAAAGAATAGTTTGCCGACATTTACAATGTATGTATTTATATATTCTACTAGCGGCTCACCCTCACTTCGCTCGGGTTCGTTGCTAGGTACGTTTTAAATAGATATAAATACTAAATAGTATAATATAATTATTTTTTTTAACTATACAAACGTCACTCAATTGTTTTGCCTTCCCAAAACCTCTCCACTAACACTTAAACTTTATGGTATGGTATTAAAGTTCAAATTGACTTTTAAGTATTATTACGAATCTTTTGTATGAGAGTATAGAAAAGTGTTGTTTTTAGACTTTTTCAGGCAATTTTTAAATTTTTTCTCTCTGTAAGAACCATCCTCGTACTGCAAGGAATATATCTCTCGAGATTTGCGCTTACCAACACATTCAGCGATTAATTTTTATATTATAGAAGATAATGCTAGTTCACTCCGTCCAACTTTTGTGGTGTCGCAAGACTATCATCTATACTGATATTATAAAGAGGTAAAGTTTGCGAGATTTTGAGTTTGTGAGGTTTTAGGAGATGATCTACTGAACCGATTTAGATCAAATTTGGTAAGAAGATAGTTTGAGACCCTGGGAAGGACATAGGATACTTTTTATCCCGGAAATCATCCCTTAAGAGGGTGAAAAGGGGATTATAGTTTGTATTGGGAATCAAGCTAGAGACGAACCCGAGCGAAGCGAGTGTGAGTCGCTAGTAGATAATAGATATAAACAAGATCAACTGCCGCAAGGCACGGCAGGGTACATTATTTATAGATATTTACGAGTAGATTCTCCAATATCGAGACACTAAAATTACCTCTTTACCCAAGAAGTGTTTCGTTCTCGAATTAGTAAGTATTACACATGTACCCACTACCCAGTCCAGTTCCGCGTATTAGACGGCCATTCTAACACTATGTTGAGATACCCACTTATTATTATTATTTTTGTTTTCTTTGGGGGTAGATATAAACTATCTGTTTGTTGCACCTACTTATAACTTACATCATTCGCGTTTTAGTGTTTCGCTGTTTTATAGAGACCAATCATACGATATATCAGCGACATTAATGTCACTTAGAAAACCAACTATTAAAAACCTAGCTTTGCCCGCGGCTCCGCCCGCGTTCGGATGATCAAAAAGCAAATTCTTAGGTTTTAAATAGGTATTAGTCTACTCTTACAATGCAGTTTTTGTATTTTTTCTCAGAAATGAGAATTTTCACGCGGTAAAAAGTACCATACATGTTCACCCGGATAATCAGCTATCAACATACCAAATTTCATCAAAATCCCTGCAGTGGTTTTTCTGTGGTGCGGTAGCAGACAGACAGACAAAAATTCTAAGAAATATAGATTCGGCCTCTGTATCGATAATAATTTCTATTTCAATAAGATTTGCCAAAATTTAATGTACAGATTCGGCTCAGTTAGAATTTTATTATAGGTATGTATAGATATACTTTTAAATAATAAACTCTGGGGTACCATATGCGATTGTGGGTAACAAGCGACGAATTTATCCTTCATACTAGACGACGACACCCATACTAAGTTTGATTGTTTTTACGGCCTATAAGACGGATTTAAGAATACGTGAAATCTGTTATTTTAAATGCGACTGTTATTATAAACAATTTCATTTTTTTTTAGGTTCGTTAAAGTTGGTGACACAGTTCAGCAATTTGACAATATATGTGAAGTTCAAAGCGATAAAGCTGCAGTGACAATTACTAGTCGATACGATGGAGTGGTCACACGACTTTATCATAAAGTAGACGAAACTGCTTTAGTTGGACAACCTCTAGTCGATATTGAATGTGAACGTTCTGGAGATGAAGGTAATGTCATTATTGTACAGATATAGCTGATTTATTCTTAACTATTTTAATACCTAAAGGCGCTCATCACCTCATCTATTTACAGAAACTTCTTCAGGAAAGGTAGATGAAGAAACAACTAAAATTATCTCTGCAATAGGAAAAGAAGAAAGTCAAAGAATAAAAGTTTTGACTACGCCAGCCGTTAGAAGAATCGCAGCACAATTTAAAGTTAGAAAATATACCTATTCTTTACTTTGATATTTTAATAATTCAAACATACTAACTTATTATCTACCAGGCTAGAGCGACGTTGTTGGATTTTATATATAAATCCATCCATCCATCCGTCTGTCCGTCCGTCCGTTTTAAAATCACAGTGCTTCTATCCGACGCTTTATATGTATAAAAAATGTTGAAATGTTTCTGAAAATGACTCACTTTGAACGAAAATCCTAGGTAGACCAAAGTTCGGCGTCTCAAGTATTAATTGTAGTTTATTTCTCTCATAAATATATTTTCTTATCAGACACATAGTCTACTTTCAGACTATGCAAAGAAAAGATAAAATCGTATGACATAATTTTTGCACACTAAATCAAATGTATAAAAAAACTAAGTAAAAAAGCCTTACACATATTAATTATTATGTATGTATATTGTATGTACATATATTTGTATCCTACTAAGAACATACAAAATATAATAGCTTATTTATAAATTAGTAAGCTAATGTAATTATACTATGTATATTATAACACTGTATTTAATCAACTACCAAGAAGTCTTCATTAATCGAAGGTAGTATGCCTCTTGTTGAGATTTCCAAGTGTACACGTATTACCCGTCTATTACTGTTTCAACTCATCGATTGTTATTTGCTCACCGGTGAGTTGGTTTTCCTCCCTTTCTTAGTACCTGATGGGCCCGTTCCAAGATAATCTGTGAGTCCATGTCAATGAACTATTAAACTATTTATTAACTGAGCTACATAGCCAGTCCACCCGTTTAGTTTTTTACAGTATAGAGCTTCAGTAATTAGCTTTGTCTTTTTTCCATAATTTTATGAAATATTTTTTTTAATATTTTAACTTTCAATACATTTCTCTCCATACTTTTTTGACTGATTCACTTTTCGTTTCATTCTATGTGGAAACTTACAAGTTTTGGTAGGTAACTAAAGTTTAATCGGAATATCACTTTTCATAATTTCTGTTAAGGCCCAAAACTTTTTATAAGCATTTGGTACTGTTGTCTCTATTTCGCACTCAGTTCTCTGCTTTTACTTATTCAAATTATATTTTGATATATATAAAGTTTAAAACTAATAAATTACCTATTGAAAAATATGTTTTTTTTTTCAAGGTAGATTTAAGCACGGTAAACGCTACAGGAAGAAATGGAAGGGTTCTGAAAGAAGATGTACTGTCTCATCTTAATATAAGTTCAGATAAGTCTAATATCGTGCCAGATCGAGAATTATCAGCAGAAGTGACATCTACACCGACGACGACACCTGCCGCGAGAACCGAAATTCTTTTAGAAGACAAAGTGGTACGGGTTTCAGGATTTACAAAAGCTATGGTCAAATCTATGACAGAAGCTATGGTAAGATATAAATGGAAACGTCTTAAAAATTAAGCTCCATATATCTAGGAGAGACATTTTTTAATGAAATATGAATTTTTGAGTATTTGTCTTTGAATATTTTAAAGTCAAAGGCTTTAAGTCTTTAACCTTCAAATAATTAATACTACACTTAAAATAAACTATTATAATTCATAAATGTTGTTTTCCAGAAAATACCTCACTTTGTATTCAGCGATGAATACGATGTAACGAAATTGGTACAATCAAGAAATAATCTTAAAGAACTGGCTATGAATCAAGGAGTCAAACTAACCTATATGCCAATTATAATAAAAGCAGCATCCGAAAGTTTAAAGCTGTTTCCCATAATAAATAGTAGCCTAGATGATAATTGTGAAAATATAATTTATAAAGCTAGTCATAATATAGGTGTTGCTATGGCCACGCCTAATGGTTTAGTTGTTCCTGTAATTAAGGTAGGAAATAGTATTTAACATTATATCCGATTACATGTCAAATGATGACTCTCTGATTACCTGTAAAAGAGTTCCCAATTTAATTTGACAACACGTTTGGCTCAGTGTATAGTGACCCTACTTGCTGTGCCTGCGGTCGCGGGTTCGAATCCTGGGGGCATTGATTGTGTGATGAGCAAGAATGTTTGTACTCCAGTCATAGGTGTTTAGGTATATTTATAAATGTATGTATTTAAAGTTTATATATGTGTAGTGTATCAACTATGTGGTACCCATAAGACAAACCTCGTAGCTTACCATGGAACTAGATGGTGCTGTATATTAATGTCTCAACAAAAAAATATATGTTCAACTAACGCTTCGCATCTTCTCTGCTCAACTGACAAGTAAAAACAAATATCTACATAGTATTAGTACCTTAAAAGATTTTTGTGTGCAAATTTCACATCATAAAGTCTTTTCAGGAATAGAAAATGAGTATTTCTAAACACGGTATTATATATCGATTTTTTATATTTTAAAGTGCTTTAACCCGATTCCCAAAGGTCATGACCTCCAGAGGCATGCATATTACTAATTTACTTATAAAATTACACGCATCAAGACGTGTAAAATAACTTATATTTATTAAAAATAATTTATCTACACTAATATTATAAAGAGGCCGAGTTTGTTTGTTTTTATTTTTTTGTCTCTAATATCAGGAACTAATAATCCAATTTGAATAATTATTTTTACATTACATAGGTTATATATGTATCATATATTTTACAATCTATCTATTCTATACCAACCGTTATAACCTACCTACCGAGAGCAAACCAAACCTAATTACCAGATGAATAACTTTGTATAGGATATCTTTTATAGTATAAGCATAATCGTTATAGTTACTAATAAATCTTAAAGTATCATAATACCTATAAATAAAATAGACTTTTTATACTTAATTAAAATGTCATAAGAAAATGAAAGCACTTATTAAAATTATTTCCTTTTAAATACATAATATATCAAAAACTATTTTTTTCCGCTCGCGTGGTAGATTCGTCGATAAAAAGTACCTACTCAGTAATAGCTACAATGGACCAAAACTGGTCGACGTAGCTAGGGCCGACCTCGGCACCACACCCAACATAAATAATAATACTCAGTAATAAGGATATATTAAGGCGATTAGTACCCTCAAAGAGGTAATTTCTAAAGCCTACTTCTCGTTTACGGCTTGATCGAAATGCTTGAAAAAATATATGTGAATCATCAACTCTTAAACAATATTTTCATTAAAATTCTCTCTCGATGCCAAGCATTCACGCTGTGTGACAGACGCACACACAATCCTTCGCATTTTTAATATTAGTTAGATTTGTTTTATATTTACGCTATTAATTATATTTATATTCACAGAATGTTCAAATGAAAAGTATAATTGAAATAGCCAGAGAATTGAACACTTTGCAAGAGAAAGGGTCAAAAGGTCAACTTGGGCTTGGCGAAATAACGGGTGGGACGTTCACTATATCAAATATTGGCATTGTAAGTTTATGAATCTACATATTTATTAGTATCGATGAAGATATACTATTTACTATATATTTAATTTTCTATACGTATAAATTAATATTTTAGGTTGGAGGTACCTATACGAAACCGGTGATATTTCCGCCCCAAGTATCAATTGGTGCTCTTGGGAAAATTCAGGTTAGTAATAAGGTCAATTCTAACCTCGAATCTTAAATGAAAGAAGTAAATAGACGGAATCCACCGAAATAAATGTCAAAGTCAAAAATAGTAGCGTGATTTCCTTTTTAAACTACTATTCCCGATTTTGTAATAAATTGTTTAAAAATAGAAATTTTATATACACATACATACCTATGTACATATGTGTTAGTTAACTTATTCTACAATTTTTGTGAATAAAATATAAATAATAAAAATAATACTATATTATTTTTTATGTTTTAAATATTATTTCTCTTCCCTTTAAAGGAGAGATAGCATCATATATGCTTATTTAATTTGCTTCTTTTATATAATAAAATTCATTAGCTATTTTTATTTTTTATATATTAATATTTATTTATATTAAAATATAAAAAATAAAATATTTATTTAATATCATTCAGTATACAAATTTTCATTAGCATACTAATTAAAAAAAATATTGTTTGGCTTCATTCTAGGACACTCTAAAACTTCCAATATTCTAATATTAATTATTATTATTATTATAAAAAACGTCCCAACTACGAGTCTGTCATCTACACCAAGAGTTTCATATATAATATGGTATATAAACATGTATTATTTTGATGTTTCTAGGTATTGCCGAGATTTGACTCCGAAGGCAATGTTGTGAAAGCTCATATATTATCCGTGAGCTGGTCAGCCGACCATAGAGTGATTGATGGAGTTACAATGGCAAGATTCTCAAACCAACTTAAAGAATATCTCGAAGACCCATATAGATTACTTTTAAATATATAAATCATATAAAAAAGTTTTTATAATATATTATATACTTTTTTAAAAAATAAATCACTTATTTTGTTGCATTAGTCATATTTTATTTTTCAAAAATTTAGAATATCAAATGTAAGATGCAAAATATGTATTCATTTTATCGTCGCAAAACTTCAAATCGTGTCACTTTAAAGTAAGCTATAGTCCATTCCGGTATGCAGTGTGGAGTGTACTCGCGATGGAAACGAGCAAATATTTCTGTAAATAGCAGCGATTCGATGCTGTTTATAGGAGTCCATTTCAATGCTAAGAACGCCATATCTACATCACAAAACTTTTTATCTGAAAATTAACAATTGAATAACTATAAAAGTCAGGGTACATATTTTCTTTTTATACTGTCTTAAAAAATGTCATTGTTTATTAAGAACTAGCGGCTCACCCTCGCTTCGCTCGGGTTCGTCGCTAGGTACGTTTTAAATAGATATAAAAAGTTATTAGCCAGCGTAAGTCATATAAATTTTATTTTTTTTTCGTTAATTATTCTGATGTTTTAATACTTACCTATTCCGGACTAAGAGAAATCCAAAAATTAAAATATCATAAAAATTGGAACGCGGTCGAACGGGATAAAAAGTATCCTATGTCCGTCTCTGGGTTCTAAGCTACCTCCCCGCCAATTTTCAGCCAAATCGGTTCAGCCGTTCTGGAGTTATAAATAGTGTAACTAACACGACTTTCTTTTATATATATATAAGATATATAAAAAAAAATTATTGCCGTAAAATGTAAAATATGGAAATACATTTCACACTATTTCCCTTGTACAAAAAAGGAATCTACTAATATAAATTGCGTTTTGGGCTTTCCGCCGTTAGCAAGTCGAGTTGTGGTTCCTCGAGTTTTATTTTATCAGGCCAGACCACTAAAACTTTTGCATTGTAAAATTTAGTTTTAATTATTCCTGGCCTGGTCTCGCAATTGCTAGGTACTTTAAAGTACTAAGAAGATGTAAATGAATATAAAGAGAATAGATTTAGTTCTGTATAAATAAAATTTTAATAGTAGTTTTTAGTAGTAGACAGTGGTAGCCCAATGGTAACGCGCTCGCTTGGGAAACAGAGTGATGCGGGTTCAAATCCCGGGTCATGCCCCTCTGATATTTTCATGTGCGAATCGTTTTCAACATGATTACCACTTGTCTTACAGTGCAGTAAAACATCGTGAGGAAACCTGCATGTCTGAGATAACCTAGCAAGTTCTCGAAAGACATGTGAAGTCCGCCAACCCGCACTCGGCCAGCGTGGTGAACTATGGCCTGATCCACCTCGTATTGGGAGGCCCGTGCCCAGCAATGGGACGTTAAAAAGGGTTGAATACGAAGTTTTTTATTATTCGTCGGCACTGCTTTGTGTATGAGTGTTTATTACAGTTATTACTTTTTTATCTTACAATCGAATCAGTATTTTATTTTATATCTTATCAAATCTGCCTGTATAAACATTAAAAATAAATAAAAATCATTTGACTAAACATATCGATAGTAAAATCTAAGCAGATATAACAACTTTACCGATTTGATAAATAGAGTTAGTTGCATTGCATGGCAACCATCCTCGTAGTCAATCAATCAAATAGGTATATATATATATTTATAATATGTATGTATTTAAAAGTTATATATGTATAATGTATGAACTATCTGGTATCCATAACACAAGCCTCGTAGCTTACCATGGAACTAGATGGTGTTGTGTGTTAATGTGCTGACATATTTATTTATTTATTTATTTATATATGAAAGGAAACATACCACCTATCCGTATAAAATAAACTTTACGTGGCGAAGATATCTGAATGTCCTCGTGTTTAAGTGCAAGCAATGCTCGCTGTTTTATACCCCAGTTACGATCTAGTTCACGTAGTAAGCTTAAACGGGCAGCTTTTGTAAGCAATCCATTTAGCTCACTGTACTGACCATGGCTTATAACTTGAGTCACCCGAGATATTGCCTGTAAAGTAAATTGACCATGTTACGTATGGTGTCTGATTAATGATTTACAAATACAATACGTAAATTGAATTCCCCAATGACACTAATATAAATTATAGGAAAATTCATATCTTTTACTACACTACACATGTGACTCATTTGAATAAATAATGATTGCTCGGTAGAACAAATACAGTATTAAGTTAGCTGAGTTCATAGACTTTCCAGGTTTGTAATCACCTGTTTTGTACCAAATTTAAATTCTTTCTCTTGGAAATCTGGATCCCAAACGTATTTTAATACACCGAAATCAATTTTGTTCATCAACCAAGTAAAAGGATTTTGTACTAATATAAGATTAGGAATACGTTTCTTTCGTTTCTTGGCTGAGTCTCTATTACGTCCGAATATAAAAGATCTAGTTTGGGCGTTATATAAGTTCGAGTGACGCTTTGAATCCAATAGTTTGAATGAATCTTTGGAATGTTGCCTATATCCAAATGATCTGTAAGTCTTGGAAAACTCTTGTTGAATTGTAGTAATACTGCGCTGACAAACAATTTGACATGTGAGGATTTCTGGTGCTCGTTTTATATTGCCATAGTTTTGGGCCACTCCAAATAAAGAAGCGAATCGCGTTGCAATAGGCCAGTATTTTTTGGCAAATAAATTACTTTTTACGAGCATCTGCAAGTTAACATTTTAATATTACTACAAATATTTTAGTGTAAATGATGTAGATATAAGAAAAGCACTCAACGCCTGCAATAGTTTATAGTATAGGTTCATATAACCGAAGAAATAGACAGTTCAGAAAATTATCAATGATTCATTGAAAGCTATTGAGGTTCTTTTGTTACCTACATAGGTAGCTTTTCTAGCTTTCTGCAGTCCTTCTCCAAATATACATATATGATTAAAAAGGGGTGTAGGTATATATTTAGTAGATAGCTAAAATTACTAAATATAAACAGAAGATTACCGTAATGCATGTGTATATAGGACAATAATTGTTACCATAAGTCCATTGCAACGTCTTCGCTTTACTTATAAATTACATATATTGCTATTTATCACTTGTAAAATTTTTCATCCTATTGTTAGTATATTTGTCAAAAGTTATGTGATTACTTATTGACGAATAATTATGCTGACAATAGGAATATTTTTTAAAAGCGGTTTTATATATATGTAAGGACGAGTACAAAGTATTATGAATATTTATAGCTCGATTATACTGAAATAAAGCCCATAATTTATGTTTCATTATTTCTCATAATTAACATATAGGTATAGTATATCAGATAGAATTCTTTCTACATCTTTCAATCTACTTACAAGTATAAGCACAAGAATAAATCTATGGAATCTAAAAACTAAAAAATAGCTGTTCAATAAAGAATTGTTGGGCAGAATTATTGGTGAACTAGGAACTTACCCGCGTGCGTCTCTAGGTGCCTTTTGTATTTATAATATTACTAGCCGAACCCGCAGCTTCACTCGCGCTAAAACTACAAAGAAATCGCTAAAAAGGTAAGTTTTACACAAACTTTCATCACTTATTTTACCCTCTTATGGGATAACTTCTTCTTCTTCTTCGTGTACTTCATTGCTGAAGGTCGTGCTTGTCCTGGAATGTTTGCACCGATTTGTTGACTATCTTTCTCCACACCACTCTATCCTCGGCTTGTCTCAGGGCAGTCGGAATATTGAGTCCCGTTACATTTGAAATCTGGTCGGTCCAGCGGGTAGGTGCTCGACCGCGTGATCTTTTGCCTTCAATCTTCCCTACTACAACCAGTTTATCCAGATTGTCTGGTTGTCTCCGGGCGATGTGACCAAAGTAACTTAGGACTCGTTGGTAGCATATAGTGGATAGTCTGGCAGTAATCTTCAGTTGGTCGAGAATAGACCTGTTGGTTCTTTTTTATGGGATAACACCTCCAGGTAAATTTCTAAGAAATCTATTGTTAACTGTAAATTACGAAAAATGCTAAAGCACGTATTGAAATAATTGTATTAAAGAGCATTAATACCAAGTTTCAAGTAATTCTGATCATAAATATTTTTTTAGGTTGTATTATAACGTGTTTTCCCGTGGGAATGATATAAATTTCCACGGTAAAATGTAGCTTAAGTCACTCTCCAACCCTCCACATAAAAAGTTTCGTCAAGGGCTCGTCCCTAGGTACGTTTTAACGGTTAGTATGAAATAGAAATCTTTGAATTTCTCGGTTATTCTATACTATAATATGCATGTATTATACATATAAACCTTCCTCTTGAATCACTCTATCTAGTAAAAAAACCGCATCAAAATCCGTTGCGTAGTTTTAAAGATCTAAGCATACATAGGGACAGACAGACAGTGGGATGCGACTTTGTTTTATAGAATGTAGTGACTAGCGACTCACCCTCGCATCTTAGGTTGATTCCCCATACAAACTTTCATCCCCATTTTCACCCCCTTAAGAGATGATTTCCAGAATAAAAAGTATCCTATGTCCTTCCACGGGTCTTAAACTATCTTCTCATCAATTTCGTCTAAATCGGTTCAGTAGATCCAGAGATTACCCCCTACAACGTCATAAACTCACAAACTCTACCTCTTTATAATATTAGTATGGAAGTAAGTATGGATATACAGATAGCGCTACCTATTGTCAAACTTGTAATCTGTGTACTCATCGGAGTCCGTCCAGCCGTTTCAACGTGAAGCAGTAACAAAAACACACGTAACACACACGTAAACACACGTAGTTTGATAGGATAATTATCGAATTAATTTAAAATACAGATAAAAATCTCCGTTTCGAGCATTATATATACTACTACTACTAGTAGTACTTATTACTAGCATTTCCCGCGGCTCCGCCCGCGTTCAGCTGACCAAAAACCAAATCCTTAGGTTTTACATATTAGTATTATACTCTTACAATGCAGTTTTTGTATTTTTTTCTCAAAAATGAGATATTTTCCCGCGGTAAAAAGTATCCTATATGTTGACCCGGATAATCAGCTATCACCATACCAAATTTCATTAAAATCCCTCCATTGGTTTTTCTGTGGTGCGGTAACCGACAGACAGACAAAAATTTAAAAAACCATAGATTCGGCCTCTCTATCGATAATAATGTCTATTTCAATAAGATTTTCCATAAAATATTTAATGTACCGATTCGGCTCAGTTAGAATTTTATTATATGTATGGATTATATAAGCCAAAATTTAGTAATTAGTGGTTTTGATTTAATTAAAATAGAGACGCGCGTGAAGCCAGGTGAAACTTTAGCTTTAATATACAGAAAATCTTTAACTTTCAAAAAAACTAAAATATATAATAGTTTTATCGCATGCACATGTGCGTATATTCGCACGTATATCGGAGATTAACTATTCTTAAACTAGCGACTCACCCATGCTCCGCTCGGATTCGCACCTACTTACGTTTTAACGTTTCGTATAGATTTTTCAGAGATGAGAAATTTTTCCGCAGTAAAAAGTATACTATATGTTGACCCGGATAACCAGCTATCGTCATACCAAATTTCATTAAAATCTGTCCAATGGTTTTCTCGTGATGCGGTAACAGACAGACAGACAAAAATATAGATTATGTTGTTCATTATTTAGGACTAGCGGACTAGAAAAGCACAAACAGATCTATCCCACGGGAACCGTTCATTTTTCCGGGAAAAAAAACCATCCCACGGGAACTCTTTATTATATTTTCAGGGACGAAAGTATCTAAAATGTTGAACGGGGATAGAAGGTACCAGCATGCAAAATTTCATTTAAATCAGTCCAACAGTTTCAGAGATTAGCCCGTACAAACAGACAGAGGAACAAAAAATAAGAAAAAAAATCTGGATTTGCTCTATTTCTCTTCTTACATTCTTCTGACTCGGTTTTTAGCATATTTTTGCTATGTACAGACATTCTACCTTTACAGTTTTACTATATGTATAGATAAGGGTATTTCCAGTACGAACTACATATGTAGATAGGTGGGTATTTATAGGGTTTTTCAAAAAGGACGCTCGAACTTTGAAAACGTATAAGTGACCATGCTATTGAAATTACCATTGCTAAGAGTATGTAAATTGGTATATAACAATTAACTGAAGAATCACGATAGATCATTGAGTACAAATAAATAAACATTTAAAACTAGCTCTATATAATTTGTTAAAAAATAATTCTATTGAAAATTGTAAATAAAATATATTTCAAAAGTTAATAGGTAATCTTTATTTGTTTGTTAAATTAAATTAGGATCTGGAGCCCCTAAATCATTTCGTAATGGACTTATCTCGCCAATAAGATAAAATCTATAATATATCGACAATCTTCACTCTTTATCAATACTAGTGGTATATAAAAGTAAATCGGATGTCGTATCTTACTTATGTTCCATTTTGTGACTACCCGGTAAGTTTTTATTAGTCTAAATTGTTATTCTTTTAAAAATACTCATTAAATGAATAGAAGTGACCCCAATCAAATTAAAAATACAAAATTCATAGCCAATCAACGTTCAAGTGCTAACATAAAACCAGTTAGTAGCTCGGCCGAGCTCAGACAAAATTATGTATCTGTATTTTTTTGTTATACTATAAGTAATTGTAAATATTAAATGTGGATAGTTTCGCTTGAAATGGAAATACCGTTGTTCTACGCTATATACTTTGTTATTAACTTTAAATAGACACATCCATTCCGTTGTTCTCAATTGAATAATACGTTCATGGTGCATTTACTACACCTACTATTTTTTTAAAGACAAAACGGCTTTGAATGTGTGTTTGTTATATTTACTAGTTGTTTGCTGGGTGACCGGTAAAGTAGTGAAGTTTAGCATATTATATTTATTTCTAGCAAAATGTGGTATTCTTTATTGGGTGCCTTGGCCTTAGCCACACTAGGCTCGGCCTGTTCTCCTAGTGTGACCACTGTGAGCGGTACACACGCCCCTGTTACCGTCTGCTCCGGAGCCTTGATATTTGCGGACGATTTTGATGAGTTCGATCTTGAGAAATGGCAGCATGAAAACACTTTAGCCGGTGGTGGTGTAAGTAATATGTTCAATTCTAATGCTTTTCTTCTAAATAAATTATACCTCCAATGATGTCCTTGTGTGAATTATATAAAGCTTAGTATCTAGTTAATATGTAAATACTTTTTTCTATATTTAATACGTTTAGTTATTGTTTGTATGCAACAGCATGTCAAATAAACAGCGGTATGTTAGTCTCGAAAATCGACACGCAATACGCATTCGAATGCTACTTCGTTAGAGTAAAGTGAAAGAAAAAATCTAAGTACATTCAAATTTATATAGTAGTCTCATACTTTGTAATTTTTTTTTTAAATAAAACTATCTTTTCCTTTTTTTAACTGATCAACATCTTCACCATGTAGCTTGACCAGTGTATCCCCCATCATAACATATACCGCTATTAAATATTTACATAGTAAGCATGACAAATTATTCTTTCTGTACGTAGATTCCATTTTTTTTAAAACACTTTCATCACTCAACGTTTTCCAAGTCTTTCCCTTATTACTTTTAACTTTTTGTTTGTCTATAATATGAATGGTATGAAGTGTAAACATTAATTTAATTATAAAACCTAATACGGCACTTGTTACAGCAGGCACATACTTGCATTATATTCGTTCTGCGATTATCGTCGTCGTGCCACTATTGTAGGTGCATTGCACATTTGACGATGAAAATTGTTTGTTTATGACTACAAATTGTCTCATGCCTTTTTTTAAATATAAACGTTTTTAATTAAAAATGATCCTGTATAAGGCAGACATTTTCGCGAGTTCGTTAATAAGCGGTTCTGTGTCAACATTCAACGTGCCCAGCAGCAGCTGCAACGTTTCAACGTCGTATTTCAATTGAATTCTTAGTTCTGTAGCTTATAGGCGTGCCATTTTGACAAAATTTACTTCGCCAATGTCGTGTAGAATGAGGAAAACCTATTCAAATACTTCTCGGTACTGATTGTTATACGCAACTATCGCTCAATATGCGCATAATGCTAGATTTAATTAGAACTATTGCTATGCATCTATCGCGTAACAGAAAAAATATGACCAAACTAAATAAATATAAAGTTGTTGATAACTCGCATTGAAATTACTTGCAAGTCCTCGTGCACCTTTTTTTATCCATTTCTTTCCAATAACACAACTATCGTATATTGTTTTGTTGCAAGTATGTTCCTGCGGTACTTGTGTAATATCATCTCCAGATATCTCGATAGGATATGATCGAGTTCTGAGTTGTAATTGAGATTTTTTCGGCAGAACCCCATAAGATTTTAAATAATTAATGAACCCGTACTCGCAACTAGATCTCCATAATCCTATAATATTAGCCATAAATTTTGTTTACTTGTCTCATTTTTTCGCCTACCCGATCGAACGACCAACGGGCTGTTCCCGAACAATGATTCAATTTTCTCTGCCTGTCTACTTATATCCTAAGGCTATATTTTTATTACAGTACAATATAAATTATATGTTTTAACAGAACTGGGAGTTCCAGTACTACAGCAACAATCGCACAAACTCGTTTACTCATAGTGGACGACTATTCATTCGTCCATCACTCACCGAAGACCAGTTCGGAAGCGCTTTTCTCTCAAGTGGCCACTTAAATGTTGAAGGAGGAGCACCTGCTGACAGGTTGTAAAACTATCTAAATAAAAACCTTGCTACCTATATAAAACACCCATTACCACAAATATAGATAAAACCCATATTATTTGTTATCATTAAATAGATTTATTCATTAATTATGAAATGTAATAGTAGTTATGATAATATCTTTGTACTTATCTCCCATCTGCTACGTGAGCATAAAATATTACTTACGCTTTTAATATCTTTTAATAATTAATTATTATTAAAGTGGCATTTTTAACAATTGTCGCTAAAATATATAAGTATTAAAGGGCATAGCAAGAACAGTTTTGTTTGATGTAGATTACGAATACCACAAAGGAAATATGTATTTAAACATTATAATTTATAAGAAATCTCTATGGATTGTATAGGTAAAAATAAAAACCTACTTCAAGGCACTAAAATGTAAAAAATAACTAAACGGAGGTTTTCATTTAAAATAGATACCTAATCAGATATTTTCGAAGTCGGTGCCAGCCAGCCGATGCAAAGCAAATCTAATATATTTCCATACATAGAATACATATTTAGTGTAGACGTAATAAGCATGTAATTTGTAAGAAAGTTTTTTAATAACATATTCGACTAAACAATTTATTTAAAAAATATATTTATTGTTGCTTTTTAAAAAAATCGCTCGACCGATTTCGATAAAATTTATATGGGACCACCTGGGAAGTATACCCTTCGAAACAAAAACAAAATATTTCCAAATCGGTTCAGGCGTCTTCGAGTAATCGGTGAACATACATAAAAGAGAGAGATTATCTCATTCCCACGGGAAAATACGTTTTAATACAATGCAACCCACAATACCTATGCATACATAATAGGTACATAGTATATCAATTCCATACCCCTTAAAACGTACCTAGGGACGAACTCGAGCGAAGCGTGAGTCGCTAGTTGTATATTTTAAATAATTACACTTATTGTAATATTTGTTTTTTTAGATGTACAAATCCACAATTTTATGGCTGCGAGCGCGTGGGAACTCGAACGCATATATTGAATCCTATAAAGAGCGCTCGTATCCGTACCGTAAACTCCTTTAGTTTCCGTTATGGACGTGTTGAAGTCCGCGCAAAGATGCCCGCTGGTGATTGGCTGTGGCCAGGTATTCATTCAATTCATATAAATTACACTGTTTGATAGCCAATTTTAGGGTAGATAGAATAATTAACGGCGTACAAATGGAAAAGTATATATAATTAAAATTAAAAAGAAAATGTTCGTCATTAAATTATTACAATTTTTACTGAACGGCATGTGTTTACCGCCAAATGTTTGAAAGAAATAGCTTTAATCTTGAGAAAAAAAAACAGTTAAAGAAATTTAGCGGGACAAAATTTTTATTTTCCTTTTGTTTCCTAAAAGACCAAATCTTCGTCAAATCTTCTAAAAAATATTTTTTACATAATAGCCTTTAGTCACAATTATTTTTTTTAATTTTGCCATAGAGCAATGTACAAATTGATTTCTATAATATCCCATCAAAAACATAAATGTGAAAATGGGAGCCAAGTTCAATATTAACAATATGCGTGGTTGTCAACTTCACCAACAAAAGAATTAATATCTAAATTCTGATTTTTGTTCATAAGAACATACAACATTCCAAAATAAATTTAAACACAATTTCTTTTTTTTCTGCTACAAAAGTCTTTGCTATTTAAAAATAGAACTTCTTTTTGAACAGTAGAATTATTTACAAAGAGATATATAGAGATATAGAGAGATAAATTGAAGATTTGACTTGGCTTGTATTATATATTCGGCTAATCACTTATATCTTCTTTGTGCTATACGCAAGTTACTGTTTTAAATTGTATGGTCAACATGTCTCAATCTTCTAAAAACTTGCTTTACTGGTAAAAACTACCCAAGTCAAATCTCGAACTTCAATTCATTCTGCATTGAACATAATTGAAAAAAATAATAAAGCGATTCTATATCCACAGCAATTTGGCTCATGCCTGCTTACAATGTATACGGCACATGGCCGTCTTCTGGTGAAATAGACCTGGTCGAATCCCGCGGTAATAAGAACATGTTGTTAAATGGTGCGAACATCGGTACACAGGAGGCTGGCTCTACCCTACATTACGGGCCCTACCCCGAACTGAACGGTTGGGAAAGAGCTCATTGGATTAGGAGAAATAGTAGAGGCTACGATAGTGACTTCCACCGCTACCAACTTGAATGGACACCAGGTAAATATTACAATTTGTAATAAAAACTTTGTGATATAAATTTTTACGTACATTACTACAGATAGACATTTTTAAATTAGTATATTCTTTATTGCACATAAAGAAACATATATCACATTAAGAGAAAATTGAAGGCAAAGGTGGACTTATCTCTAATAGAGATTTCTGTCAGTCAACCTAGGGGGATAGGAAAGATTGTCATTAAGCGGAGCATAAAAGTGTGTAAAGTGATAACGAAATAATTAAAAAAAAATCACAGTAGGTATATATAACAATAACGGTCTTCTATACATATAATAACCGAACTGACTGGAAAAAAATCATAAGTGGTCACGATCCTCATCAGTGAGGGAACGAGGAAGAAGAAGAAGAAGATACATATAATAAAATTATAACTAAGCCGAATCTGTACATTAAATATTTTTCGGAAAATCTTACTGAAATAGACTTTATTATCGATACAGAGGCCGAATCTATAGTTTTTAGAATTTTTATCTATCTGTCTGTTACCGCAACACAGAAAAGCCACTGGAGGAATTTTGATGAAATTTGGTATGGTGATAGCTGTTTATCAGGGTCAACATATAGGATATTTTTTTACCGCGGGAAAATGTCTCATTTCTCATAAAAATACAAAAACTGCAATGTAACAGTATACTAATATGTAAAACCTAAGAATTTTGTTTTTGATCACCTGAACTCGGGCGGAGCCGCTGGCAATGCTAGTAGTATAACAAATTATACAAACGTACAAGTATGTATACAAAATACATAGATAACAATATTAATTATAATACATATATTTTATACTATACAATATACTTACATACAATACATATAATTACTTATTACTAGATTTACGTGAATATTTGACATTTTAAATAATCCGATCCGATAAATCCGAGAAAATATGAATATAAACAATATTTTATCCAGATGCTCTAAATTTGAAATAAAAAAAAAAAACAAAATAGCGAACAAATAATTATATGGATAGGTACTGCATTAATAGTAACACACAATAACTGTACGAATAATATATTTTTATTAATCCAGTTACTGGACCAATTATATTTTACACAGTTATTAGTCCAGTAATCTTTTAATCAATTCAAATTTCAAATTTGTCGATAATCTGGACAAATAATTATGTATTAGTCGTATAGCAATTGGATTAATAGTTACTTCCATAAATAATATCTTGAAGAAATAACCGATAAATTTATTTTCGCAGATTTTTTAAGATTCAGCATTGATGATGTGGAACTAGGACGCGTTACTCCGGGTAATGGTGGATTCTGGGAACATGGCGGTTTTAACAGGAACCCTAATATACTTAACCCTTGGCGATATGGGTCTAAGATGGCGCCGTTTGATCAAAAGGTTAATACATATTATTATGGCAACTTTGTTGTTGTGTAATTTTCTGATTTATATGTGCCTACGTCATAGTATATTTAAATGACTATATACCTATTATTTTTCAGTTTTATCTCATCATAAATTTGGCTGTAGGCGGAACTAACGGCTTTTTCCCTGATGGAGTAACAAATCCTACACCTAAGCCATGGTGGAACGGCTCTCCATCGGTAAGCAAACATATTATTTTTATAAATTATTTAAATAAATTATATTTTCATTCCTCAGTTACACTATGGTGTGCCATGTTTATCTTTTTCTTACTTTTATCAATTCATTCATTGATGACACCTATGGCTCAGTTTGTAGTGATCCGACTTACTGCGCCAGCGGTCGCTAGTTCGAGTAAGTTATATATGTGTAATGTATCAACCAAGTATCTGGTATCCATGACAAAGGCCTCGTAGCTTACCATGGAACTAGAGGTGCTGTAGAGGTGCTGTGTATTAATGTGCCAACATATTTATTTATTCATTTATTACAACCTTACCTAGAAGTTCATACGAGACACCTACCTTCCAAATTTGAGCTATATACGTAGAATTAAATATCAATATTCTCGAGTGAAATGATTGTGACACACGGACAGATAGATATGCGAAACTATAGAAGTTCCTCATATAATACATTATGTATGTTATTGTTCATTTTATATTTATAGGCCGCGACTGACTTCTGGAATGGTAAGAACTCCTGGCTGCCGACTTGGAACCTAAACCAAAACGATGGACAAGCCGCCTCTCTACAAGTCGACTATGTACGCGTATGGGCTTTGTAAAGAATCATATTATGTACATATAACGTACATAGGAATAATTCGTTTGTAATTGACCAAGTTTTGTATATATGTATATATGTATGTGATTATGTACGAAAGAAATAAAAAGTAACTTATATATTTATCTTTTATTAACGTTTCGTATATTAAATTAGAGAATTAAAAAATGGAATGTGCTAATTTTAATTTTGACGACAACAAAATATGCTTTAAAATATCCAGTTAATAAATCTTTATCTATACAATAACAATGTGAAAATTAATTAACACCTCCAGGTAAATTTGTAAGAAACTAATTAAATTTCTAAGAAATGTATTGTTAACTGTATCGCCGGCGTGTCCGCGGACGTTGAGGGATTAAGTAAATGGTAAAAAAGTATAATATATAAAAATATTATATGGACAATTAAGTTTTACCACAACAGACAATAATAATGTCTTTCAGACTGATATATGTAGGCATGCACATTGTACATATGAGGCCGTCAGCGCAAAAGTTGCCCAACCCACTGACACACTAACAGATACTTTAGAGAAAATAGTTGTTAAATATCTTAATATATTTTAAAACTTATTTACAGTTTTTCATTTAGCGCTAACTTGAGTTTCTAAAGTTTATTTTTTGCGTTTTTAGCTTATTTTCCTTTAAACTAAATTTGTTATAAACATCTTATAACTATTTTTTAAATTAAATGTAAGTTAGATCATTTTTGTATATTTAACATATTTTCAAAATTTTTGAAATATGTACATTTGAGGGTGTTAGGCCAAATAATATGTAACTTTTCTCCCGCTGTTATTATGATTCTAAATTTTATTCACGATACATTAATGCTTACGATTGTATCTCATATATGCATACAGCCTAAGCCATAGGGCAGCAAAGGCAATCTAAGTAACACTTGAGTGGCTTAGGCTATTTTTGCGTTTCCAAAAAGTTGAAAAAATTAAAATACAATAACATTTTTTGTGGCATTTTTTATTTATAAATAAAACTCCACAGAGGTTTTTTTGTAAGTTAAACTTTACCATATTTAGAATACTTTGTAGTGCTTAAGTTGAAATATAAAAAAATGTGGGTTAGGCTGTTCTTGCACTGCCTGATATATACCAGCCAACTACGCAGGAGGTATTATAGAGCGCAAGTGGCCGAACCTGGGACGCGAAAGCAAAACATATGGCAAGTCTTAGTAAGATCAGCCGCTGTGAGCGTAATCAGTCTAGAAGACATTATTACATAAATACAGAAATAATTAAAACCTTACTTAAATTTTAAAACAAATGTATGACAAATATTTTAAGTACATATACTATTTATTTTATTTATACATTTAATTAGTATTTTCGAATCTTAAGTTTTGATGTAATAAATACAAAGTAATACCAACTTTATTTTATACATTAACTTCCTTACTCTATAAATAGTACCTTAATCTATAAATTACACCATTTATATAGTACAAATATTATATCAAAATATCAGCTTTTTATTAAATGCACATGAAAGTATATATATACAAGTACAACTAATAAGAAAAAAACAATTTTAAAATTTTTTGTCTGTCTATTTGTCGGGAACAAAATTTAATCTAATTTCCTAAAAGGTTGGACCGATCTTGACGGGACTTTCACAGGCGCATATAGCTTACGTTATAAGGGGTAACTTAAACTTACTTTTACTTTAGAAAAAGAATCACGGAAAAACGTTCCGCGAAAAAATTTAAACCCCTAAAATACTATATTAACTTACTTGGAATTACATAAATAAGTATAAATTGTATCCATAATAATATTATTCATATTAACTTTATAACACATACCATTTTTTTATGAACGTAATCATCAAGAAGAAGAAGAAGATTTCAGCTTTTAGGATTTCAGGGCAATCGGCACTCCTGGCACAGTATATTAAACTAGTCGTTTAACAAAGAGTCGAGTGAGATACAATACCCGGTCAGTCCATGTGGTAGAAGCGCGGGCTCATGTAGTGCGCGCGGGGGGTGCGGGGGGCGCGCGGCGCGAGGCGCAGCGGCGTGGGCGGCGCGGGCGGGCGCGCGCGCGGGTAGTGGCGCCGCTCGATCACCTGCCCGCAGCCACGGACATGTTATGCATACAGTACTCTAACTCGGGCCTGTCCTCGAAATAAAAGTACCTACAGCCGAGCGGCACGTACCCACGCGACAGGGCTGCCCGAGTGCCCGCCGGACAGTATTAAAATACTTTCATCTACCTACTTGAGTTTCTTTCTAATTTTGTGATTTCAAATATTAAGTTTATGTTATTTTTTTTAATATTATTAGTAAATTTAATTTAAAAATCCCAAATTTATAAGGGTGGTATGGTAATGATGGTGGGGGTGGTGGTGACTTCTGGCAGCACATTTGTTTTGTCTCTTTCACACCTTTCCGCCATTTTCATCACACACTCAACACTCAGCCCACTCTCTTTGTCTATGGTTTCATACTCAGACTAAAGAATTATATAGTCCACCAAAGCCAAGTTCTTACGATCAAAGCTTACTTTGAAGTAGTTTTGATGACTACTTTGATCATGTAAACGAGCAATCAAAGCGCACTTTGACGTCGGCGTTCAATCAAAGTGGATTTTATCAAAGAGAAATTTGTCTTAAAGCTTTTTGTCAAAGCAGACATTGAGCGTGTCAACGCGGCTTTAAATAAAATATCAAAGTCAAAAATAGTAGCGTGATTTTGGTCTTTATGCTACTATTCCCAATTTTGCCAAATATATCATTTACTTTCTTTAATAAATAAGGAAAATTTTATATAGGTATTCTAGATCAGTCTATATGGCTATAAATAGTTAAAATTCTTAGTAAAAAGAAAAGATAATAGATTGTAGGAACTAACACACATAAATGAGTATTTGCCGAAGCGTGCTTGTTTTAAATAGGATAAACGGAACAAGCGTTCATATGTTTAAGTCTACAGGTGATCGACGCATATGCGTGTGACCAAAACGAGTTTTTTTTTCTATTGGATCTCGTTTAAAATGAAAACTACGCCATCTAGTAACAATTTAACATCAACTAAATTTCTTTGGCTAATTTTACTAAATTCCTTTTAAACAAACATTACCTAATTAGTGATTTAATTCAATACTGTTCAAATATAAATATCATATTTCCTATGGCGAAAATATAACACAGTCATTGGATAGGTCTAACATTAATGAATGACTTTTGGAGCATACATAATTACATTCATATGAATCATCATTCACGAATAAATGATGAAATTCTACTGAGATAATAAAAAGATTGAACACGATATGGGATCAGAAGTTTTCGAATATTAAAATCTTGGTCAAACATTATGTAATTGGTTTAAAATTAAAAAATATTACCTTATCAAAAAATCTTGTTAATTTAACAGAGTTACTTGTACCCGGTGCTAAAGATCTGAAAAAAAAACCAACATAGATTAAAAAATCAGTTATGTTGGTACAAGTATGAAATGATTTTTTATTAAATATTTAAAGATTGTTATATAGCCTTATTTATACATATTATAATAAAATTGTAACTAAGCCGAATCTGTACATTAAATATTTTTTGGAAAATCTTATTGAAATAAACATTATTAATTAAATGCCGAATCTACACTTTTTAGAATTTTTATCTGTCTGTCTGTTACCGCACCACAGAAAAACCACTGGAGGGATTTTGATGAAATTTGGTATGGTGATAGCTGGTTATCCGGGTCAACATATAGGATACTTTTACCGCGGGAAAATGAAAAAAAGCTGTCATGAGGATTGCCGACAGAAGTGAAAACTTAAAACTATAAACAAATAGTTATTATTTTTGGACATTCAGATCTTAAATTAAAATTTGTAAATTAAATAGTTTACATTTATCTGGTTTTGACATCTATCGACACTTTGAGTGTTAGCGTTAAAACGTCACGTGACCATGTCGATGACGACTTACATGAATTTACTCCCCATCCAAACCTACCTATAGGCGAAGTTTTCACTTCAAAAATGATACATACAGCTATACATAATTAAACTACTATGTCGGAGCTGCGCGAAAAGTATATATTTATAATATATAAAGATATTATAAATACATATATTATGTGTTTTATAGTCAAAATAAAATACCTCGCCTGGTAACAATTGACAAATATTTCATCAGCACCGCATTGCTCTGCGATACTGCTCGCGAGCCGCCGGTATTGATTCTTTCTTTGTTTTTCTTCAGCTAAATCGTACTTAGTGCCAATTACGAGTATGGGGACCTAAAATACGATAAATTTTATTTTAATAATTTATAATTTGCCACATTTTTTAAACATTGTGAAATGTATTAACGCGTACGACCTGCATACATACAGGTCTTTATGTGCGACTCACCGGCTAAATAAGCCAGTACTACCCTCTAAAATCCAACAGAACCATCCCCGTCTTAATGGGGCGTTGCAGAATCACTTACGCAACTACGATTCCCCGACAGAAATTAGCAGGCCTGCCGAAGCCGATCACAACAACCAAGGGATCGCTCCGACGGTCCACTCCGCTATTATACTGTATTCGCCAAATGAACCAAGCACTGAGATTTTGAGCTTCCACGTGATTAGTTGGAGATAAGACGCTTAGGCCGCGATTACAACGTAAGTCATAATTAGTCCGTCGTTGCATTTCGTACCGTTCAGACGTCTCTCGTGTAGTTACCTGATTTATTATCAATATAGGAAATGACAGTGATACGTCAGAAAGTGAAAATTAATAAATAATGTATACACATATTATTTAAAAAAAAAGTTAATTTATTTTAATGTTGATTTTATTTGTATGTTGATTTTATTTTATTACATAATAATTCCTCACTAAAGCTTTAGCAACATGAACGAGCCCTATGATTTCAAACCAGTTGCAAGCGTTAGTGGGCGGAGCTAGACATTTTTCTGTCCTTATCAGTTTGCATGCTAATGTGGGACAGAGAAAGCGCTTTGCATGGTTCACTCCGTGAATAGAGCAGATAGAGAAGTAAGTTTTGTCATGTCATGTCACGCCCACACCTTCGGGATTTGTAGTAGACTACCCATCGTTACATTATTCTATTAAGTTTTTTTTATTACGAGTATTCATTTGTCTCTGTTGGGGTTCATATTCATGTGGATAAGATTAAAATTTAGAGATATAAAAAAATATTGGCCAGACTACCTTTTTATTTTTGAATAAAAGTTCTGTTAAGAATATTTTGATATTCCTAACAACCTTCATTACTTAATTATACCTGAGCCCTCACTCGTGTAAATCCGCCCGTGGTAGTCGGTATCCATATGAATGTGTTTTTAATATATAATTATGTATAATGTAAAGAATATACTATATTACCCTATACTATATTTATTTCGTAACAAAAAAAATATGAAATTAGGAGAATAAAAAATATAATCAAAAAAAATCTTTTTTTATACTGACTTGAGTAGAGCCTAGAAACTGTTCTGGATCCACGTCCATATATTGGTAGTTGGGGTTAATACTATCTTGGTTCAAAATTTCCGACAACCATTTTTGTAAATTAATTTGACTTTTCCTATTAGTCAAGTCATGCACCAAAATTATTCCTAAAAATATAAAAATTTCCATTAATATAGTAAAAATAGCGAAACCACATTTCATATACTTATCATAGATTTACTTAATGATATAATAGCTATTTCTGTATATTATTTTAGCATATTACTTTATACTTACCGTGAGTTGGTTGATAAAACACATTTCTAGTATTTCTGTGGTTGTTAGAGCCGCCTACATCCCAAAGTTCTACGAAGAATGTATTTTGCGCCTGTGTCCCATCCTTGTATCTGTGTAGTTTAACTTCCACTGAACATCCGACCGTCCATCCCGGTGACAGCAAAGGTTTATTATGAGCAATTAAATAAGTTAATGAAGTCTTGCCGACGCCTGAAAATCATTGATCACAATTTACGGTAATCATCGTCGTACACTTAATAAGCATTTAAAAACATATGCTAATAAACTCCATCTTAAATCTTTCTTATATTTAAATTTTAAGTAAATAAATTGAAATAAATATAAAACATTTTTTTTATATTTCAGCAAACGTGCATGTACATTGTATGAATGTATGTAGGTACATACATTTATATCAGACTCTCTCGTGACCATGCTTGTCAAATAATTCAAAACGTAGCTCGGTAAAAAAAAATCAAAATAAAACCGCTAAAAATATTTGGAATAATTTGATAGGATATAATTTTATAAGCATTAATAATTATTAAAATTTATATTTTCCCGCCATTTACAAAACTTATGTTGTCTAACCTATACAAACTAGAACTGTCATGGCAGCAAAAATGTTGGCAAACGTTAGTTGTGTGTTATCCAGTGATTTTTTTATTTATTATTGAAAAAAATGAGCGAAAAGTGAATAAACTGAATACGTGACACTTAATTTACCAGAATCTCCAAGGACGACGACCTTCACTTTCTCTATTGCAGCCATTAACAGGTATTTAATTATAAAACATACACTTTATCAAATGAATGAAATATTTTGACATTTCTCGTTTTGCCGAATCGTGCTGCCAACTATCAAGCACAATATTTGAATTGCCCTATTAAAAATATATGGAGGAGGTATCTTTAAAATCATTAATGTCTACTGCTTCAAATATTCTACACATTAGTAGAAATTAGTTCTATAATCATATAGCAAACTAATTACGTGTAAGAATATAATTTAATTAACGAAAATCATATTTAGTAAATAATTTAAAAAGTATACTTTGAATTCTATGAAAATCTTATTCTAGTAACATTGTACGTATCATTATTTTACCTACTTCTTGTGTCTCTCTACTGTGCGGTTTACTTTACGTGAAAATTTAGCTAAAATCAATAATAAATAATGCGTCGGCCATTGTGTACTGAATAACATGTTTTCAGCATTTTGTAAATATCATTTAAAGTAAAATGCAACCCTTTTATACATTATACAACGAAACACTAACTCTCTTATAACAATGAACGTGTATTGTAAAATATTTATTGTGCTTCTTTCAATTAATTCTGTGCATCTTTATTGTGGTCCATACAATGGGCAAATTTGCAAACATTATTCTACTGGGTACGTGTGGTACAATCATACCGGTGGATTGGAAAATGAAAAAATTACATCTGGTTTATGGAAAGAAATGATAGCAGCTTTAAAAGAACCTTGTCGTAGTAAAGCTGAAAAACTTCTATGTGCATATGCTTTTCCAAAATGCATTGACAAAGATGGAGTTGGATATTATGCTTTGCCACTATGCTACGAAGATTGTATGGCTGTTAAAATGCAGTTCTGTTACAATGATTGGATTGTTATAGAAGAACAAAGTCGGCGAGGTGTATATTTTGAATCGAGGGGTCATTTTCGTTTTCCTGAATGTGAAAAGCTGCCGAAATTTGCTGGAAAAGGAACTCAAGTAACATGCAATAACGCAGGTATCACTGATATGGATTACAGTCAAGTTACGACTACATGTGTCCGTGGTAATGGACAATATTACCAAGGTACTATGAATGTTACTGAGACTGGGCTTGCATGTCAAGCCTGGGAATCACAGCATCCACATCAACATACAAGACCACCTTTAGTATTTCCTGTAGTTCAAAATGCTACCAATTACTGTAGAAATGCAGGAGGAGAAGAGCGGAAGCCTTGGTGCTATACAATGAACCCAAATGTAAGATGGGAACTCTGTGACATACCCATGTGTGCTAATTTTAGCGATGATTTTGATAATACAAGTGGTACAATTGTAATGGAAAATTACTTTACACCAACATTTGTTTTAATACTTTCTGTTAGTGGCCTTGGATGTGTTTTAGGTATAGCATCAATTGCTCTTCTATGCCATTACTTTTTAAAGAATCATTACTCTAAGTGTAATATCTCAAGTCGCAGAAATCTGCAAAATGTGGATATTGATTTGGATAAACTCCCAAGCAATTTAGCTTATCACACAACAGGTGCACAGCTAAATCCTAAACTGGAAAAACTGGAATTTCCTAGAAATAATATTATTTATATTCGAGACTTAGGTCAAGGTGCATTTGGAAGAGTATTTCAAGCAAAAGCACCCGGTCTAGTTCCAGATGAAGAGTTTACCTTAGTTGCAGTAAAAATGCTAAAAGATGAAGCATCTCATGACTTACAATTGGATTTTGAAAGAGAGGCTTGTTTATTAGCTGACTTTGATCATCCAAATATTGTCAAATTATTAGGTGTATGTGCTATAGGACGTCCAATGTGTTTGTTGTTTGAATTTATGGGCAAGGGGGATTTGAATGAGTATTTAAGAGCTTGCAGTACAGCACCAAATTATCCACCAGTAGTAGAAAATAGAGAGGACTTAAGACTTCTTGTTGCTCCACTGAGTCACTTGGATCTTCTTCACATTTCTAGGCAAATTGCTTCTGGAATGGTTTATCTATCTGATAGAAAATTTGTACATCGTGACTTGGCTACTAGAAACTGCCTAATAAATGATGATATGGTTGTTAAAATTGCTGATTTTGGATTATCACATAAAATTTACTTACAAGATTATTATAAAGGTGATGAGCATGATGCTATTCCTGTAAGATGGATGCCATTAGAAAGCATTTTATATAATAAATATACTCTAGAATCTGATGTATGGGCATATGGTGTGTGCCTTTGGGAAATATTTTCCTTCGCCTTACAACCCTATTTTGGTATGACACATGAAGAGGTTGTAAGATTTTTAAAAGATGGCAATGTGCTTGCCTGCCCTGACAATACACCTAGATGTGTTTATGATTTGATGAAACAGTGCTGGAATCATCATCCCAGTGATCGTCCACATTTTAGAATCATATATCAAACTTTGGACAATATTCAAATGATACTTGAAAGAACAAATTCCACTTAATGTTGATAACTAATTTTATCAAAATTGGATGTTATATATGAAGAAATATTTTGTCAATAATTACAGTATAATTTTGTAAAAAATTGTCTTGCCCTAGCTGTAAATAAATCATTTAGGTAGAAACTCCTTAAATATTATGGACCTATGTAAAAATAAGTATTTATTGTGTGAATTTAATGACATCTTTTGATTCTTTTGACCCTCTGATTTAGAAATCGATTATTCATAGAACATGACAAAATAGTGTACTAGTTTCAGATATGTTTTGCACAGTTAATGTTGGAAAAAATTAATGCCTACTTGGACCATCCCGTAGTTTAGCTATTGATTTTAAGATAGTAATTAAAGATGACATTAAAATATGCATAAAAACAAATTTCTAGACTAATTATAATTTGTAGATATTTTTATATCCAACAGTTTTAGTATAACAAGACTGAATTTGATTTATTTGTTCTAAAGGAATATTATGAATCAATTTGTTCATTATGATTATGAATGATAATGTAAAAAAATTGTTTATGTCATACATATTACTTTTCTTATTGTGTTTATCGTCTCATGTATCTAATATTGCAAGCAACATATTGCTAAAAATTGTGTAATTACTTAAGAGCTATGTTTATAAAATTGATTTTATTATATCATATATAAATTTTATCTACACGGGCCAAATCAAATACAGTGATCTGTATTCACTAGTATACATATTGTGCCAATTTTAAAGGAATTTTTTAAACTACATAATGTTAATTTTTAAAGCTCATCTAAAAAGAAATAACCATAATATGTTTCTTTTAAATGAACAAATAAAACTTTATTTTATGTTCCTAATGTTGGATAAAATATAATTTTAACATCCCTATTCACAGGAAGCTCAATTATTTATAGTTCATTTAAATATACTTTAATTGTATTAAGAAATGATTATGTGAAATTGATATCTCTCTAATTTATATGACTTCATTATTATTGAATATTTCTAAATTATCTAAGTTGAATTTTACAAAATGAATGATGTAATTTTCGGAAAAATGCACAAACAATAGAGAAGCCATCCAAATCTTCAACGACAAGTCTTAAGCTGCCACACACTGCCAGATAAATTTTTATTAGATTTATTTTAGATAATCATAACTGTTTACTTTGATTAGTATTTTGAAATTATGTATTTTATGAGACATTATACATTTAATTTATTAAGTTATGTTAATATTTATCGTTAAGATTAAATGATTCAATTTTTAACTGTATTTTTCTTTCACCTTTATGTATCGAATGCATTACAGTTTATAGCAATCATGGTCACGGGAGAGACTTAAGGTTTTAGATGTCTCAAAGGTATTTATTAACTATATTATGGTTGTTACCGACAGATTAGACTTGTCAATTTTGGTTAAAAGCAAGTTCTTACCACGGATCACGCATCACGGAAAAACCACTGGAGGGGTTTTGATGAAATTTGGTATGGTGATAGCTGGTTATCAGGGTCAACATATAGGATACTTTTTACCGCGGGAGAATATCTCATTTCTGAGAAGAAATACAAAAACTGCCATATAAGAGTATACTAATAGTAACACCTAAGAATTTGGTTTTTGGTCATCTGAACGCGGGCGGAGCCGGTAGCAATGCTAGTAATCATCTAAATTCTAAACAGTGGGCACCATAGAGTATATTGGTACATATAATTAGTACTAAGATGAATGACCCTGGTGGGCACCTACTAAATCTGTCTACCTCCATATGCTAAAATATAAAAGTTCGACAATATGTGTTATCGCGGATGTAGAACTATTAAAATTAAACTTACATACAGTGTGTACGTACTTACAATATAAACCAACTATTTAGGGCACGCATCAGCGCTCGCATAGTACCTACGCTGTATTTTTTTCGATTTGCTTGACAAAAAACCATGACAGCTCTGCTAAAACACAATACAAACATAATAATTGATAGCAGGAATCTGGGATAAAGTAGCTACTATCCGTCTCTATTTATAGTGAAAGTATTATTAAAATAGGTCCAGACTCCAGAGTTTATCAATTACCTACAAACGCACATATTTTCCCCTTTATAATATTAGTATAGAAAATAATAATTACACATTACGAAAAAGAACAAATTCTTTAGTTATCTATTAGTATAAAAATACAAACCACTTTTTAACCATTTTTTGATTTTCGTAAAATCGTTTCTTAGCTTAGCTTACTCTCTATCAAAAAACAAAATGTCGATATCCATATTATGATCTCGTGTTTTTGTCCCCAGCGATGTATTCCCTAAAACTTCGTATTGGAAAAACTTTAAAATAACGGTTTTTCAAACAAACTTTTAACCCCCTCTAGCGTTGAATTTACCAACTTGGAGGAATTTATCCAAGTTTATAGCATCAATACTTTCTTAAATTTCGTAATTTATCAGTTAGTGGTATTTCGCTTTTATGTATACACTCGTATGATGGTTAGATAAAATATCCAATAAATACTGATGTTGATGAATTATCAATGATGATTAATCGATTATCATTTCGTCTAGATTTATCAATAAGAATGGAATGACTAATAAAAGTAGGTATAAGTTTGCATGTAAAAGTTAAAATAATATTTTTCTTTTTCAGTTATTATGACTGAGGAACGACTGGTGACTGAAGTGCCCAGCAGTTTGAAACAACTTGCGAGGCTCGTTGTAAGAGGCTTTTATACTATTGAGGATGCCTTAATCGTGGACATGTTGGTTAGAAATCCCTGTATGTGCAAACAAAAATAAACAAAATTCTTATTACTGTACATAATGATCTCTTGATTAAATTATGAAAACTTTTACAGGTATGAAAGAAGATGATATTTGTGAATTGTTAAAATTTGAACGAAAAATGTTAAGGGCAAGAATAGCTACTTTAAAAAATGACAAATTTATTCAAGTCCGATTAAAAATGGAAACTGGTACGTTAGTAATTTATATTTATTAACATATTTTAAATTGTTAAAATTTAGTTACATTTAAAAAAAAGTTAAGATCAACATATTTCTTACGATTATTCAGCAATAAAGATGACTGAGTATTATTAACGTATTGAAGTTTTAATTATTTATATAGGTCTTGATGGCAAAGCGCAAAAAGTAAATTATTATTTCATAAACTACAAAACTTTCGTGAATGTGGTTAAGTACAAGTTGGACTTGATGCGCAAGCGCATGGAAACGGAAGAGCGCGATGCTACAAGTCGAGCCAGTTTTAAATGTCCGGCATGCAGTAAGACATTTACAGATCTTGAGGTAAAAAACGAAATATAAATTTGTTGTAACTTTACAGTGTAAGTAAGATATTATGTTTCACCACCACGCACCCTAAACTTCCTCGGGCTCATCCCTTGGAGAGCAAAAGCATACTTATGGCACTCTCGATATCCCTGATTATCTTCATACAAAAAAACATATCAATCGAAATCTGTGTGTTTATTTTATAATAACGTGTTCTGCAGAAATCAACTTTTCCCCTATAAATAGATTAGTCACTCTCCAGTCCTCTAAATATACTTATTCATATAGAAAATTACATCAATCTATCGCTTAGTTTACGTGTGAAAGAAGGACAAATGAACCAACGCACTTTCACATTTATAACAACACGATACATATATACTCATATATAATTTTTATATTCAAGGCGGATCAATTATACGATATGATGACTCAAGAATTCCGATGTACGTTTTGCAACCAAGTCGTAGAAGAGGATCAATCAGCGCTACCGAAGAAGGATTCCAGATTATTATTGGCTAAATTCAACGAACAGCTGGAAACACTGTACATATTGTTAAGGGAAGTGGAAGGCATCAAACTGGCACCCGAAATATTAGAACCAGAACCAGTCGATATCAACACAATCAGAGGGTTAGCGATATTGTTCTTTTTTGTCTTTTGAATATTTAATGTTTCATAATTTAGATTATATTATTTTATATGTAAAATAGTTCGATAACCCATTTTTATAATCTATTCTCATTTTTATTTTTTATATTGTGGAGCCAAATAGGGACAATCAAACTGTCGCTTTTGCTATAAAGAAAGTACTAAACAATAAAATGGCTTCGTATATCAAAACATTTAACGCACAACATTATGTCGTTTACAAACATTTTAAATGTTGTTTATTAATAATACCTATTGGCTATTGTTAAAAAGAATAATTTCGCTACAGACATATCTTAATATCTATCTGCTGTTAACATTACTAGAGTTTTATAAGACAGTGACATTAGCATTTCGAAATCCCATAATTAGTAGAAACATCCATCAGATTAATAGTTTATTGGGAATCATCGTGATGAGCCGTTTAACCGTTTCAAATATTATATCAATGAGGCTGATACGAAGTTTATTCCATGCAGTTTGAACACAAAACAAGTCGGCAACCGCTTGCCGGGCGAGCAGTGGTCGGGCGAGGCCACGCGCGGGCTGGGCCTGGCGGTGGAGGAGACGCGCGTGGACGTCACCATCGGGGACGGCGGCGCCGCGGCGGACGCCGGCGCCGCGCGCAAGGAGCGGCCCGTGTGGATGGTGGAGAGCACCATTGTTAATGACGACCAGGTAATGTATAAAGCATGGCGGTGTATGATCGTCTCTTTATCTTGTATGTATAGTAGAACTGGAGGTACAGGATTCGGGGCCCGGGTTAAGGGTACTTATTGGATTTTCTGTCAAGAAAATTGTGTCAAAAATGGTACTGTCATATTAATACAGTGTTATTGAAAATCATAGATTGAAGCCTCTCAAATAATGATTTTCGACCTTTTATCGCCGAGTTACTTAAGAGAAATCGTCATTGGTCTAAAGCTGTATACATGAGCATGGTTTTATTTTTAGTGTTTTTTTTTAGGAAATTTGAAAGGTTAGAATTTATATAGTGGCTATAGGTCGGGTAGTGGGACGTTAAAAAGGCTGAATCAATCAATCATAATATCAGGGGCGGATCTATATATACGCTTTTTGGGGTTCAGCCCGGGGCCCCTAAGATATAACGGGCCCCCTCTTGAGAACAATGAATAATGTCGTGAAAATTAATACCTTAAGTTCAATTAAGAACCAAACAATATCGTTGTTTTAATTTCATCTAGTACTATCTGTCAGTATAGATTTTCTAAAGACAAGATGACAGTGAAGGCCCGTGTTGCAGGGCGAGGGCGCGCACGGCGCGGACGCGGCGCTGGAGCGCGCGGCGAGCGGCGCCGCGCCCGCCAGGCCCGCCGCCAGGGACAAGGCCGACGACATCATGTCCGTGCTGCTGGCGCACGAGAAACAGAGCACTGGTGCGGGCTCGTTGCGTTGTACCCTTATTTATATTATACTAGCAGAACCCGCGGCTTCGCTGCGCTAACACTACAAAAAAACTTTACAGAAGGTTTCATACAAACTTTCATCCCCCATTTTACACTGAAAATGCTGAAACACGTGTTTCTTTAATTGTTTTGATGAACATTAGTACCAAGTTTCATGTAACTCTGATAATAAACATTTTTTTGGGTTGTATTATAACGTGTTTTTCCGTGTGAATGAGGTAATCTCCCGCGATAATAAGTAGCCTATGCCACTCTCCAGCCCTTCAAATATCTCCGTACAAAAATCACGCCAATCCGTCACTCTGTTTCGACGTGAAAGAAAGACAATCAAACAAACACTTTCACATTTAAAATATTAGTATGGATATTGTATAATGTTTGTTTGTTGGTTTGTTATTGTTGATGTAGCAATTGAATAAGAGATTGATGGTTTTGATTAATTTAAAAAAAAAAAACAATACTTTTGGTCTACTAATTTTGAAACTCGCAAAGGAATAAAACCTATAAGATACTTGCCTTTGTCCCAGAATCATGAAATTTAGCATGAAGCAATTTCAAGTAAAGGGAAAAATATGAAAACCGTAAATTTGTAGTTCAATCATATTTTTTTCTCAAACTGAAACTCTCGGTATGCGAGTTAACTCGCATTTGTCTGATTTTATAAGTTACTCAACCTCCGCAATCGTCCCTGGAGCTATTGGAGTGAATGTGTTGTGTTTATTATTTTTTTTAATTATATTTTGATATCATTTTATATACATTACATAAAACGGCTTCAACGCCTTTATATTTGTGCTATAAAATTTCTAAAGTTTTAACATTTAATTTGTAGGTACTAACGCTAATAGCATACTGAAGGGAACGGAGCCTGATAGTTCAGATTCAAGCGATAACGAATCAAAGGACCCGTACAAGCTTAAAGATGAAATGGCCGCAGTCGGTAAGTTGATGTTTTTATACGAATTTATATATATTCTTACTAGTTTCGGAATTACAATAATAGTAGGAACTAGACAGAATTCGAGTTTCAATTGGGGATATTGTTCGGGCTTTTAGGTCGTATTTCTTTGAGAGATTTGGAGATATTTTGTTTGACTTGAATAGACGATAGATGGCGTTGCTCTCAAGAGTAGCTGACTCGACCCTTGTAAAGTTTAAATAAAAAACGTAAGTAATATTGTAAAATGCAAAGTAATGAAATTTCATGGCTATTTGGAGCCGAAATAAACATTGAGATGTAAACAGTGTATGTATGTATATGAATGCAGTATGAGCTTATTAACTAAGAGTTGACTATTAAATTTAAATCTCCAGTGAAATTGTAAAATTATGATTTGCTTTTATTACTTTTTGCCTTACCGATGTAATTCTTTTAAATTGAGTATAATATTTTTATAGGATCTATTTTATTCTTATTCTAATAAATCCACATTTTGTTTAAGATATTGATAATCTCAGTATTTTTTTTTTGATATTAATAACTTCTTTATTATACACATAGGTAAGTAGGTATTATACTAAGCGCCTGCGTTGTTAAAGTAAGCAAAATATGTAGCTAATAAATATATTTTATTACTTTCTTATTACTTAGATATCTTATATGCTTTTTTTTAACGTTGGGAAATGCATTTATGCACGAGGGACTCACTGGCAAAGCCAGTACTACCCACTAAAACTCAACAAAACCTTCCTCGTCTTAATGGGGCGTCGCAGGATCGCTTATGCATTCAACTACACGGCCTCGACGGCAGGTCTGCCGAAGCAGACCACAACGATCATGGGGTTGCTCCAAAGTCCAATCTGCTATCAGAGTACCAGGAGCAACCCGCAAGGTACACCGCTCCCCGTAGAGGGCCACCTCCCTGTGCGTTTCTTGGCTTCGCGCCCGGCTGTATTTCCGGGCACTACTGAGCCCCCCCACCACGACAAGGTGAACGCACGTTGGGGGGGGGGGGGGTAGATATTTTATATCCTGAGTTAATCTATACATATAATAAAATTCTAACTAAGCCGAATCTGTATATTAAATATTTTTTGGAAAATATTATTCAAATAGACGTTATTAATGATACAGAGGCCCAATCTATAGTTTTTGTGTTATAGGATTTTTGACTGTCTGTTTGTTACCGCACGGAAAAACTACTGGAGGGATTTTGATGAAATTTGGTATGGTCATAGCTGGTTACCCGGGTTAACACGTAGGATACTTTTCTATAAATCTTTATCTATTTCTAAGAAATAATCTATACTAAATGTCAAAACATAAGTAGGGACGAACCCGAGCGGAGTATAAATACATACAAAAAAAGCAGTAATAACATAAAAGCGATCAATTCCAGCGGAAATGGAGAGCTCGTCGTCGTCGTCGTCGGAGGGCGCGCCGGCGGTGCTGGTGCGCGGCGCGCCGCTGCCGCTGGCCGCCGTGGACGACGCCGCCATCGCGCGCATGTCGCCCGCCGAGAAGGAGGCCTACATACAGCTCTACCAGGAGTACTACAGCCACATGTACGACTAGCTACTCCTTTCTAATAAACACTATTATTAATCGTTCGTTTTTTTTAATACTTTACATATGTTATGTGTTCGACCCTTTGTTTAACGTCGCACCGCTGGGCACGGGCCTCTCTTCGATACGAGGTGGATCAGGCCATAGTCCACCACGCTGGCCGAGTGCGGGTTAGTGGACTTCACATTTCTTTCGAAAACTTGCTAAGTTTTCTCAGACGTGCATGTTTCCTCACGATGTTTTCATTCACACATTAAAATATCAGAGGTACTAGATCCGGGATTTGAACCCACTTCACTCGGTGTCCCAAGCGAACGCGTTACGACTATGCTACCACTGCCTTACGTTTTTTTAAAGCTTCACTTATGTTATAAGTACAGTTATTAAGCTATTGCATAGCTTCTATCGCGGGCCTTGAGCGTGGGGACCGAATCCAGAAATTCCGTAACGAAAAAAACCTGACAACCCCCACTCCGACCGACACAGCGGTGATACTTTTTAGTTTTTCCATCTATCGATAAATACCAGAACTTTTAATGACTTTTTGAAATATCACGCTTGTCTCTTTAGTTCAGCAACCCGCCTTTAGGTGGCATTGGTTGTATTGGAAAACTACCGTAATCAGCTGTTTGTGAGAAAGTTTATTTTTTTTATGAGCTAGTGCCATCTTGTATAAAAACTACGAACTAGCTGTCTTATGTTACTTTTATTCACAGCTATAAGAATATGGTCACTAAATGGCGCAACAAAACAAAATAGTAGTTTAATATTTATGTTTTAAGTCACGTTTGACGACACGCTTGGCTCAGTTTGTAGTGACCCTATTTTCTGTGCCAGCGGTCGCGGGTTCGAATCCCGCTGGGGGCATTCATTTGTGTGTTGTCGAATGTTTGTACTCCAGTCATGGGTGTTTATATTTATAATATGTATGTATTTAAAGTTATATATGTGTAGTGTATCAACTATCTAGTATCCATAACACAGGCCTCGTAGCTTACCATGGAACTAGATGGCGTGAAATACTAATAAAATAAATAAATAATTATAATTGCATAACTTGATAAAAAATGCTATGCAATAGCTTTACCGCGGCAGTCTCCGAGTGCCACATTTAATTTTTTATAATACTAGCAGCTCACCTTCGCTTCGCTCGAGTTCGTCCCTTCGTAAGTTTTAACTTTTAGTGCTTACAATTAGTATGGAGTAGATAAACTATAATAAACCATCTATACATATAATAAAATTCTAACTAAGCCGAATCTGTACATTAAATATTTTTTGGAAAATCTAATTGAAATAGACATTATTATCGATACAGAGGCCGAATCTAGTTTTTAGAATTTTTTTCTGTTTGTATATCTATTACCGCATCACAGAAAAACCACTGGAGGAATTTTGATGAAATTTAGTATGTTGATAGCTGGTTATTCGGATCAATAGAATACTTTTTACCGCAGGAAAATATCTCATATCTGAGAAAAATAAAAAAGAGCAATGTATATTAATATGTAAAACCTAAGAATTTGGTTTTTGGTGATCTGAACGCGGGCGGAGGCGCGGGCAATGCTAGTATATTATATATATAGGTATCTAGGTTAGTTTTACAAGATTACTATACATAAATATAATAGGAATTCAGATATTGTCGAAGTACCTACTGAAAAGTAATAAAACGAATAAAATACAATTGAAAAAATAAATATTTAATTTAAAAATAAATAAAAAAATTCAATTATCTAATACAATCTAAATACATATTTACATAATGGATGGTTTATTATTAGTGCTAGGTTGAGAATGTTGCATAATACTGTAACATTGTAAAAGGCACTCACTCTATTCACTCAAAAAAATCTATTTGAGAAATTGGTACCTACATCTTGTGTATATCAATAATAATATTATCTACTTTGCAATAAATTGGTTTATATGTCATAAGTGAAAACTTAGATATGCAGGTTTGTATGGGGAGTAAATTCATGTAAGTCGTCATCGACATGGTCACGTGACGTGTTAACGCTAACACTCAGAGTGTCGATAGATGTCAAAACCAGATAAATGTAAACAGTTTTAATTTACAAATTTTTATTTAAGATCTGAATATCCAAAAATAACAACCGTTTGTTTATTTTTAATTTTTCACTTCTGTCAGCAGTCCTCATGACTGTTTGTTTTAATTTATAACATTGAAGTTCGTCAATAGCTACTAAACAAAAAAAAAAGAAAATCGGTTGACAAACAGAGGAGACATCGAACTGTTTTGTCTTTGCCTATTTATATATAGGTCAGTTTTAAAATATAACTACGTAAATGTATGACCGATTTCAATTTCACTACAATTTTTTAAAGTCTACTTTATATTGCAAATAATTGAATTTGTCAAATGAGAATTTTGCACTATCCATATCTGCATATTATAAAAAAAATATCCTTATCACTGCAGTTTTATAAATACTTTTATAACTTCAAAAAATGTTAAAACACCTATTTTTGCGAAACTTAAATTTTCACAATGTAATTTGTACCTTAACACTAATGAACACAATTCAAATTTGTAAAACAGATGCAGACACCAATTCGGATAACTTTCTATTCCTACTAAGGTATGTAATGATTTATACTATTGTTCACAAATTAACTACAAAAGTAAAACTATCAATAAATTATTATGCACAATGTCAGTATTTAAACCTTGTTTGTCTTCAATATAAACAATTCATTAGCTAATGGTATTTTAAATAAAACTATCTTTTCAGATTTTTTCGTGGATTCATTTTGAATTTTTTTGTTCCCGACGTTTTTCACGAATCTCTTCAGTAGAGATAGTTTTATCTAAAATGTCAAATATTCGCGTAAATCTAAGAAAGTATTAGCTAATGGCACTTCAATTTATACTAGACGTAATAAAACTAGAGATCGAAGAGAATATTCGTTACCAATACACCTACATCTAAGTATGCAAAAACAAATCAGTAATAAAATCAATAAGTATTGATTATTGAAATTAACATAACAACAAGTTTGCTGCAGCTTAGAAGTTCGGATAATTTTAATTTCAAATTTTCATAATCACCTAGTAACTTATTTACATGCTTTAACTTTAAAAGTTTTTTTATATATATATTATAAAAAATCCAATAATAAAACAAAATTGTATGAAGCCAAATTTAAAAGCAAAACATTTAGCATGCTATGTGAATATATAATCATTATTTTAGATAATAAATTTATAATTTCCAAATTGAATATTTTTGTACTCATATGTATAGTTGAAGTATAACTATTAAATTTTAATATTTTCATAACAAATAACAATTGTGCGATTACATCAATTTTATATGGCTTTTACATTTTAAGATATACTTATCAAATGTAGAAATAGAAAAGATGCTTCATTTGAATATCATATCATTTAAGTACAATTAAACCTATACAACTAAAGGCATGTTTGCGCGTTAAATTAATAGGTAATCCTATATTGTAGGTAACATATAATTAATTTGTCAGTAATATTCTATCATCGTTTTATACATTTGTATATCAAAAATGTTATATGTAATCTTTACAATTATTTAGGCACAACCATTTCTATTGTATCTGATAAGTAAAGGGAAAAGTGTCACATTTTAAAAATAAAACTGATTGCTGTCAATTTAAACAAATATTTACATTATAAGATCCTAATATCTACAAAACATACGCGTGAAGAACATTTTTATAGATTATTTGTTACTTTTCCCTTTAATAAATGTAACAAAAACGTAAAGTTTATTAACCAATGTGTTTGCCCCACTTCTCCCAATACTCATCTGTCTGCATTTCCGTGATCCGAGAAAGGCACCGGTCGCAGGCAAACATTTCCTCTTCTCCGGTAAATATTGACGCTCTTGAATCTTCCTGCGGGTGTGTAAATTAATAAAAAAATGTTAAACTATTAATACTTATACAACAGTATAAAAAACCATTTTGACGACGATCGCCTTTCATTTTGACGGAAACGTTAAATGGATAAAGGTTGACAAAAAATACCAATTTTTTTAATATTTTACGTCCAATTACGGTGAAACTTTGTTTATAGTTTCATCAATATGCAATAGGTGGCGCACAAGTTGCATGGAATAATTTGAGGCGATATGGTTTAGAATTTAGATAAATTTTAAAGGCATGAACATATCCCTTGATTATAACTTATATATCAGTAGCTATGCAAGAATCCGTATTGGTCCCCAAAAAGGATAACACATAGTTTGTTGGACCAACTTGTTTAGTATAAAATATAACAACCGACTTAACTTTAGATGTTTAATAATCATTGAAATTTTAGCAATACATACAGAGTCCTTAGTTATCTTCAAGTCGTCCATAAGCGCCCTGTCAGCATCTCCAATACCGTCCTGAACTTCATCTAAATTAAAAAGATTCATTGGTTCACAGTCGGCCGCAATGACAACCTGAAACCATAAATACTTGTATGTAAATTAAAATTCATATAATTCAACTTATTTGAATATTTTGAATAATTTTTTAGAGGGTTTCATAGATTTGATGTAAAAATGCCTATTTTATCCGAATTTACAATCAAATTTTAAATAATAATAGAATAAAAATTAACTTCGCGACCACCGCGTGTGTGATTACGGGTTTTTCGATCAAAATATACCGAGACTCCCAATTATCGTACGGGATATTATATGGGGCTAACATGTACGGCCGGAGATTCGGAGGTCCTGGATTCGAATCCCGGGTCGAGACTAGTTCAGTTATTGAGTATTTCTGTCAAAAAATTATCAGTAACAGCCTGGAGTTGGGAAGTTGGCGGTTTTTCATCTCCGTGCCCCGGAGAGCATTTGTCGCGTCGGTCCTGCGCTTTCACTCTCACCGCGAGTGTCGAAGTGTTGTCCCATCGGCATTTGAGAGTGACACACACTATAGCGCATTATGCGGCATAATGCTAACTTAGAATATTTCAACTACAGCAAAGCTCCGCTTAATCGAGCATTTTGAAAAGTACTGCTTTTCGTGATGCGCGCAAGGATACCAACTCAGTAGCAGAAAATATGAAAAGTGATTTTTCTTTATGGTGGTATTGATTAAATTTTATTTATAATTTACATTATTATCGTTAGTAATATTGATTATTGTTGAACTAATTCGTATAGCCTTCGACGTAGTTTGATAAAATATAAAAGAGTTAATTTATACTGTGTTCATAAATAAATATAAGAATGTGTGAAGCTTCAAGGAGGCATTGATCAAAATTTTATTAACACTATCACTAGTGATATTTGTAATTATATATTAATTACTTTCATATTATTATATATTTCTTATACAATATATAATATCGACGATATGTATTATTATTTATTATATATTATATAAATATTAGTTATATTTTTTTCTTTCAACACTAAACGAAAAGTGCCCTCTGGTGGTGCACTTGAGAACTAATTCACGTTCCAATTAAGCATTAGCACACTTCGCCATTGTGTGCTAAAGTATGGCAATAAGCTGTAATCGAAAAACAGGGATTTTCTGCGCGCACACCGACACACGCGCTGCACTATCATATCTCCTGCGCAGTTGGCTAGTGTCAGTGAGATTGGCCGCCGTGGCCGGAATCGGTCAGGAGGACATTATTATTAAGGTTACCAGGTCAGATAGATCACTCATAGAACGTCAAGCAACATACTACATAGCATAATTTTATAAATAAATTATACTAAAAAAATTATTGGCAAAGAGTAATAATACAGGCAGAAAAAAGAACTTCATATTCTTAAGATTAATTTAGATCTAAGAGTAATAAATAATAATAGTAGGTACCTAATAGGGAATTCCCAGTATTCCGGACTTATGTAGCTAATAAATTACAATACAGATAAGTTATATCATATTGTTAAGAATGTGTGACTAATAAAATACTTAGATACATTTCTAAAACACATAAATCTAAAATCTAATGGCTGTGTTATGTCGGTACTTACCCGTGCTCTATTGTCATAGAACGTGTCAATTAGTGTTATGAATCTTCGTATTTGGGATCTGTGTTTCACAATTGATAACTGCGGCAATTCTCTTATGAACACTGTATGAAATGTTTTTGATAACACCAGATAATCACTAGCTCCAAGAGGCTGTAAAAACAATACATACATTTTCATTGCATTTAACTTAACTTTAACTATCTTGTAAAGTTTTTTTTGAACTTCAACGGTGACGCGAAATAAATCAAGTTAATGAGAGTTCGACTTATAAATTTTGATTTAGAAAGTTTAGCAAATCACCTACCTAGTAAGCTAGAAAAAAAATAGAAAAAAACCTAGTAAGTAAGTTACTAGACTAAACGTATAAATTAAAAAACACTGTTAAGTTGTGAGTTGTATTATAACGTGTTTCCCCGTGGGAATGAGATAATTTAAAAATTAACGTGTGACAATCTCCAGCCCTCCAACTATCTCCACACAAAAAATCACGCCAATCTATCACTCTGTTTCGACGGTAAAGAAGGACAAACAAACACACTTGACATTTATAATATTATAAGTATAAGTATGGATTTCCAGTATTCGATATATTATATTGATATTGAACCTTGAAGGACAGGGATCAAGGGACACGGGACAGCTAAGGGACAGTCCAACTATAGAAGTTTTTAACTCAGCGAAGATCCACTGTAATCTTTTTGACGAAACGAATTAGTTGTTAGCAGATGTTATGTATGTATTTCTAGACTCAAATTACTTAAGCTTATAAGTATAAATTAATTTCGTTTTTCTATAAAACATTTGATTTTTTTTTATATTAAAACATCGACAGATATTAAATATTATAACATTAAGACTAAAAGTAACACAAATAATACTTTCTTAGATTTACGCGAATATTTGACATTTTAAATAAAACTGTCATTTCGGATTTTTTCGCGGATTTATTTGGATTTTTGATTCCCGACGTTGCAAATGCTTTACAGCAATCATTGGTCACGGGAGAGACTAAGCTGTTAGATGTCTCAAAGTTATTATATAGTTGTTACAGACAACCTACCCACAAATAACAAAATGAATTCAAAAAAATTGAAAAATGGCACCAAAGTTACAATTTTTTTTAAAAGCTATAAAAATATTTAAAATTAAAAAATATTGTAAGGTACTTTAGTGCCATTTTTCAATTTTTTATGATTTATTACATAAGACTTACAGTCATCTGGAAAATTTAATATTAGCTATAAATGTGGTTATCCTAGGCTTAATATAATTGATCCCCCCCAACGTGCGTTCACCTTGTCGTGGTGGGGGGGCTCAGTAGTAGTACGAAGCTAAGAAACGCACAGGGAGGTTGCCCACTTCGATGGGCGGTGGGAGGTGGCCCTCTTCGGGGGGCGGTGTACCTTGCGGGTTGCTCCTGGTACTTCTCTGATAGCAGAGTGGACCTTGGAGCAACCCCATGGTTGTGGTGGTCTGCTTTGGCAGACCTGCCGTCGGGGTGTCGTAGTTGAATGCGTAAGCGATCCTGCGTCGCCCCATTAAGACGGGGGAAGGTTTTGTTGGGTTTTAGTGGGTAGTACTGGTTGTATTACGCCGGTGAGTCCCACACGTCGTGCGTAAATGCATTTCCCAACGTTAAAAAAAAAAAAAAAAGGCTAGTTACTTACTCTGTCACAGAGTTCTTCAAAAGTGGAATCCAATACTCCACCACATGCTTTTGCAAATTTGACATTTCTTCCAAGTATATTTATTACTTTTACTCTAACAGTATCATTTTCTTTTGATATGAGGTACTTGAATAAATTATCTACAGCGTTATTGTCTGGAGTTAACTCACTATTACTGAAATAAAACCATATATGATGAAACCCTGCTTGTCTGAGAGAACCCAACTAGTTTTAAAGGTGTTTCAAATCAGCAAACCCACATTTGGATAATGTGCTACACTAGAGCCTTATATCTCCTCACTTTGAGGTGCCCATGGCGAGCAGTAGGGCATTAATAGTGTTGAATTATTTATTTATTATTAAATGTAATTGACATATATTTTATTTATAGTGATCGTAGTATGTTTTGTTTATAGAGATATTACTTATGAATGCATATAAAAGATAATTTAGTGGATTTAGATGCTTAGAGAATTTATACTCACATGAAATATTTTCCATATTTTTTTCCAGAACCTCTTATTCTGTAGTCAATACCAGAATCCAATTGGATTACTCCACAATGAGCTTTTAGTATAGGAATAAATGGCAAAAAGTTTGACCTTTGTAGTCCATTTTTATATAAATCATCTGGTTTTCTATTACTAGTGGCTATGACAACACAGCCATTATCAAACAGTTGGGTAAATAGTCGTTTTAAAATCATAGCATCCCCAATATCTGTAACCTATAAACATTTGTTCAAGTGGAAATTTATATTTGAGATAACTAATATTTGATTATAATAAATGTAATAGATACATATTTATATCAGAAACCTTTATTAATTACACAAATAATGTGTGCTAATTTAAAAATATAAATTAATTGCTATTATATTTAAAATCTAAATTCAAAATTGCCGCAATACAATGATTAATACAAATATAATATTGTTTCTTGCAAGTATTAGTTTACAACTTATTTTTTAGCACTATCTCATTAAAAAAATGCGCACATATATCATTTGAAATACTGTTTAAATATTGCATGAAGTAAAGGTCCTTAAAGTAAAAATATTTAAATTAAAAAAAAAATATGTCTTTTTGCAAAAAGATTTAAATTGGGACAATATCTCTAAATTAAACTTACTTGAAACTCATCAAAACAAATAAGCCATGATTCTTGTGTAATATCAGCTGCTACTGGTGGAATTGGATCAAACGGTTTAGAGCTTTCATCTCTAAAAGTACTGGCACCTTTTCCTGATTTAATTTTAAGTTCGTGTATTCTAGCATGAATGTTTAACATAAATGAATTGAAGTGAACTCTTAATTTTTCTTTTATCTAAAATAGAACAATATATTTTTAGTGGTCTATTAACTTATATCAATATGATGAAGGACTTCATGTTTACTTACTGGAACAGTCTCATAAAATAGATCCATTAACATAGTTTTACCTCCTCCTACACTTCCATAGATATATAGGCCCTTAGGTGCAATAATTTTTTGAGGCTCTTTCTTTCTAAATATGCTGAACAAAGATTCACTTATTCTAGATTGTATAACAGGCCTTTGAAAAACTGATACCTCTTGAAATAATTCTTGCAAATGTTGCACTACCTTTTCTTGATGTGGATCTTTACTAAGAATTCCGTCTGCAACTTTTTGCGAATATAAACTCCAAGGGCCTTCAAGAGGTTGTTGTTTTGCTTGAGAAGATATAAATTTCGAACAGTTAAAACAATATTTCCAATTTCTTTTCGCAAGGACTGATAATTGTAATCCAGAATTAAACGAAAACATTTTGGCTAAACACTACTTAAATATATAGTACTTATTATATAAGAAGAACTAAATTATAATTTTTTCACTAGATTATCCACATTATACAGCTTTGTTTATGTCTAAAGGAGACAATGTTCTAAGGTTAACTAAAACTAATAATAGTAAAAACTACAGGTTACAGCTGATTTATTCCCATTTTATTTTGTCATATTTAATATGTCAATCTGACGTTGACAACCTATTAGGTTGTCAACGTCAGATTGACATATTAAAGCATTCACTCACGGCAAGACATTGTAAAAATTGTGATTATTGCTTTAAATACAAGGTGATTATTCATTATATCACACATCATGTAAAAATTAAAATATAATGTATTACTCGTATTAACATAATGAAAAAGCTATAAAATCATACCACTATGGTATGGTTCTATTAAATAAGCTAATCACAATTTACTACATCAATATCATGTACACTTTTACTTTATGGCTCGGTATTGTAGTAATATATTGTATAAAAGATTTTATTTTGGAACTCTATGAATGGCATCAACACGTTCAAAGTGGTTGGTTAAATATCCATATAAAAGCCAAGTTTTATCTTTTATTAAAATGTGGTATTTATTACGCGGTAGCGACAGTTCCCGTTGTACTATGAAGTGCGCCTCCTGCCGGGTTGAAGGTTCTTAAATTCAAACACTTTATAATAATCAATTATCTTGTATTAGACATGTATACTAGTTTTACATAATTTCATTATTACTTAATATATATAATTCTTCTGTACGTGTGTTTGTTAACCTACTCCTCCTAAAGAACTGGACCGATTTGGATGTAATTTTGTGTGTAAAATTCAACGGGTCCCTGGATGGTTTGAAAACACAATTGAACCCATTAGGTGGCATTGCAATCGTTGTGCCACTGATCACCTCCTAAACGGCAGGGACGATTTTAATGATACTTTTTGTGTATGTTCGAGTAGGTCCCTGCAAGGTTTGAATTCACAAATGGATCCGGTAGGTGGCACTACAGTCGGTGTGTCACTAAATTTTCATAAAAGACTTCATTTTCCGAGCAATAAATAAATTTAAATTGTTGATTAAATAAAATAAAAATCGATGTGTGTATGTATGTGTTTCCTTTGGACTCAGCTGGAGCGATTTTGATAGAATACTAAGGTAATCTTCAGATTAGCCCAGCGGGTGATCTGATGATATTTAAGAGTATTATTATATCAGTTTTATGACGTGTGCCGCAATTTTTAGTTGCATGACGTGGCTCAGTTTGCAATACCAGAATGGTTCTATCCTATTAAGAACTTTCATATAAATGTTGATAATGTTATTAAGTATTGACACAAAACTATCCTTGGAGTAGATTACATAATATGTATTTCAATAAACAATTCAAATCCGTAATCATTTAAATTATAATATACAATCAAAACATATGTTTCATAAACATTATACAGTTATTTTAACGAGGAATTTTAAGAATGATCGATAGTACCTAAGTCTTAGATTATTTATATGTACTAATCTAAGAACTAAGTATAAGCTGTATTTGAACTAAACATAAAATTATATTATTAGAGCTTTTGCTCTGTACCTATAGTATGACGCATTTCAAGCGCACAATTTGAGGAAGACCATAAATTTTACCCTTACTTATCTTTGTCTTCATCATAAGTAAGTATATTTTTATGCATACAGTTTTTAGTTACATTGCAACCTTAAAGTTATCTAAACTAATATAGTAGGTAGGTATTAAATTTATTAAGAAGAAACATTTAAACAACTTCTGTAGGGAACATAGAGCTGTGTAAAATCTATACATAAATATAATAAAATTGTAACTAAGCCAAATCTGTACATTAAATATTTTTTTGAAAATCTTATTGAAATAGACATTATTGTCGATACAGAGTTTTTAGAATTTTTGTGTCTGTCTGTCTGTCTCTTACCGCATCACGGAAAACCCACTGAAGGGATTTTGATGAAATTTGGTGTGGTGATAGCAGTTATCCAGGTCAACATATAGGATACTTTATACCGCGGAAAATTACCTCATTTCTGAGAAAAAACATACAAAAACTGCAATGTAACAGTATACTAATATGTAAAACCTAAGAATTTGGTTTTGGGGTCATCAGAACGCGGGCGGAGCCGCGGGCAATGCTAGGAGTTAATAAAATTACAATTTAAATCCTATTTACAATTTTGCATTTTGTTATATTTGAATAACTGAATTTATACTAGTTTTATTTTTATTTTTATCGAATCTAAAAGTTAATTACAATTTTCTATTTCAATAAGTATTAGAGGAATTTATTGCAAATAAATCGATAAATAGTATAGCCTTGATCGAATCTTGTACTGTATGTACTCGTATATCATGTATATAAATTGCCAATTTCATTACACTTGCACAATGCACAGATGTAAGTGTAGAGTAATTGATTCCTGGAAGCTGTATTGACAAGTTGTAGGTCAGGGAGAGTGGGTAGAGTATTCGGAATGGTATATTGTCCAGAACAACATTGTAGCAAAGAATGTTCTTCGTTTATTTAAAGCATATCTACATCAAGTTTCGAACTGTTTTGTATAAATTCTAAATAGATTTATGTGCTACTTACCTTTAATCTTTATATATATAATTCTTCTGTGAGTGTGTATGTCACTGAACTTCTCTCAAACGACTGGGCCGATTTTGATGAAATTTTTTGTGTGCGTTCAAGGGGATCTGGGAATGGTTTAGATTCACAATTTGAATAATAATTTTCATCAAAAAAATTATTAAAAAAAGTTTGAAATTTTCAAATTAAAGACGTGTAGACAGGACAACGTCTGTCGGGTCCGCTAGTATTATCTTAAAACCTTACCTGAAACTATGACGGGATGATAATATAATTATAATTGACAGGTTAAATGATAAAAACTGGACGTTAACATTTTTAATAAATACTATATATAATACAAAAAAATATTATACTATACAATATAATTGTTGTATTCCAATAAAAATAATGAATGTTGTAAGTAGGTAGGTATGAACTAGAAGGTTTACAATAAAAAAAAAACATTTTTACATTTAGTCTCATAACGATAAGGTCGAACAAGGCAGCAAATGACTTGAAATTTTTTATTGCTACACAAAAACTAAAATTATAAAATCTATTCTTACAGCAAAATAAATTCGATGATAAAATTTTAAAAACCACCAAAAACTATGTATCGCACCGATCGTATCAAACAATGCACAATGGATACCGCTACAACAATGCACTATCCTTTATGAATACATAATTACAAAAAACCCGTAACTTTATTTTACTTATATCTAATAATTACCAAAAATATCAATGAATAACGCCGGCAAAATTGTTCTTAAAATAATCGAAACGACTACTTTACTATTTACAAATACATATATCTACTTTATCGTTTTCGTTTTACAGAAGTCTCGATTTTGCATAATCTTGATTCAGAATCAGTAACGATGAGATATAAAATGAAAACTAAACTTAATTATAGACATAGGAATTAAATGTTCAAAATACATCTGGATTCATTTGATTTCTCTAACTTTTTCTCGTTCAGAAATCATATGACATTATCTAATAATAAAATAATTATTAAAATATAAACTGAAAGGCTTCATATATAAACGTAGTTTTATCAATTAAATAAAAACCAATATAATTAAACAATAATATATAAGTACGTTACGAAAACTATACCTAAGAATCAACACGTTTAGCAGACCTGTTTAAAATAATAAATCAAAGTTTCACTAAATGATAGGAATAAAATAAGGGCATAATTAAGGTTTCTAAATGAAAAAATTGTAATGGCTTATATAGAAATTTATGATATTATACTGCTCACATCCTGTGTACTTTCAAAATATTTATTATATGGGTAGACTTTACTCGAACTCTACGTAGAGAACTTTGAATTAGTGTAAAATTATTTTTGATTGATTTGCGAAGTGACTGTTTTTAGCTTGAATAATGTTTATGCAACTGAACAATAGTTACTTCGCAAATATTATAATTATAATGTAAAATAAAGATATAGATAATTTTCAACCAACTTTTTTTTACCAGTCCGTGCGTCAATACCATTAAATGACAAAAGGAAATGCAGATTGAGGTTCAGCGTAAGTGGTGACAAATTTTATTGTTATTATTGTTATGAATTTAAGAAAATTGCCCCACTTTGTAATAATAATAATAATAAATATCTTGAGAAAAGAGGATGTGGTCAAATTGAAATCGACGTCCTGAGTGCATTCATACGATAAGTGCATAATATATTGCAATCAGCAATCACGCATTATCATGGCATCCTCTTTTTATTTTGGTTCGAAAGGGATGTGACCGATATAATCGTATAAATTTAAATAAAACCAAACTCAACAAGCAACTGATACAATTTACTTAGGCGTATTTTGTATATTGATATGTCTATTTTTTTAAAGTTATCTATACAGATAAATAAAATTAAAGTGGCTGTTGGTAATGTCAAAATAACAGATTTTTACTAAATGTATATGAAATTATATACCTACGGTATAAGGAAAAACAAAATTTTAAGGGTTCCGTAACCGAAGGGTCCAAACGGAGCCCTATTGCCGTCACTCACGTGTCACAGACGGTTTGGTTAAACGTCAAACTAATTTGACGTTTGACGTTTGGTTTGACAGCCAAACGGTTGGAGCTACAGTCTTCAAATTTTTAGAGTATAAGCTTCTTGTTAACCCAAATCCATACAAATTGTCAAGATATTGTTTTAAATGATTTTAAGGGGGCTCCCATATAACTAAAGGGGGAGAAATGACCATTTCGTTGTTTAGAGCTCGTTACGTAGATAACTAAATTTGTTTTAAAATTATATTTTTGTTTTAAAAAATATTGGAAAAGAAAAGAATGAGAAGCCGCCAAAGTCAGCTTTTTTTACAAATTTTATTCCGAAGAATTTATTAACTGCCCAATGACCTATGAACTTGACATTT